GACCAACTGTCCTGTTTTTCCAGGACATGTCCTGTTTTCATTTAACAATATAACAATTTTCTATCCATACAGAGGAGGCATAACCTACTTTAAATGTATTGAAATTAATAATGTATTTATCATGTTTTTATTTTTATTGTTTTGCAGTATTTTAGTATTCTATTGTATAGCTATTGTTTTAAATTTTAACCTGCTAGGGACTGCAGATGAAAATTAGCCTGTATGGCTAAATCTGGCACATTTACATGTTGGACCTTGTTCTCATGTTAATTAATGTGCATTGTCCCTTTAAATAAAGAAACTCAAACTCAACCTCAATAAGGTATCTTTGAGTAAACTTCGGGTATCATTTGAGTAGGCCCATGTGTTTGCTGGGCTGAGTGTCCTGGTTTTTGGTAATCAAAATATGGTCACCCTATACAAAACTATTTACTAAGACAGGGTACTCACAGGTAGTATCTCACAATGACAATCTGCTTAACTAAATTACTTTTTTATCTTAAATGTGAAATAACAAAATGACCTGCATACAACTTGTTTTAAATATTTAAATAAATATTATTTCTAAACCAGAATTTCTGGATTGGTGGTGGTTTGCTATTGGTTGATCTCATGTGATTGACAGATGGCCCCGCCCTCGTGTCAGTAAACACATCATCAGAGATGAGATGCAAGAGGGAGGGGAAGTTATTTTGATATAAGGTTATGAAAGCTTATGAATTATATATAAAAAAAGTATGATGTTCACAGATAAATCACTTATAATAAATACTGCAATATTAGACAAAAAATAAGATTTGTAGATTTTAATGTGTCTTAATGAACACAGTATGTGAATAAGTACACGTGTGTGTTTTTAAACAAAACTTTGTGATTCCCTCTTTGGCGCTGTTAATACAGGAACATTTTCCCATTCGATTGCCTATTCCTGTGTTTCCCGGGCATTAGATGTGGAAAACTTGTTTTTATGACACAATGGCTGCATTTACACTGGCAAAACGTGTCACCACAGACACACAAACACCTGTGTGATGATGGATTACATAAACTGGGCATCTCCATGAAGAGGTGTGACGTTTGAGGAGGTGTTTGGCCCGTGAACCCCACCGGAGCCGTGAGTAACACACCCCAGACACAGTGAAGTCTCTGTTCACTTGAGACACGGCTAAACACATTTCCACACGTTATCTTGGCGAGGTAAACTAGACGGAAAAGCTGATGCTGGTTAAAAAAAAAAAATGTTTGTCAAGACTTTGTTTTCTGCGGTTACCACTTAATAAAAAACAGATGGTGCACATATTAAAAGAGTTACGTTTTGCACACTACACATAAAATTGGCTCTGCATTCTCAAGACTTTCACAAACATACACACACACACACACACAGAGACAATGCATTTGCAAACACAAACACACATATCTGCACTAAAATCCAAAATATAAACATCTAAAATAACTTCAAAAATTAAAATCTTTAAGGACAATAGCTTATCCTTTGCAATCATCCAATTACCTTCAAACGATTTTTTTTGTGAACGCAAACGTGTTTAGGATATACATGCACATATATGTTCTTAAAAAAAGTTAGTTGGAGATATTTGGATAATTGCAAATATACACTATCATTCCAAAGTTTGGGCTTAGTGCGGTTTAAAAAAATAAGATATTAATCATTTTGGTAACACTTTACAATAAAATTCATTAGTTAACATTAGTTCACCGCATTAGTTAACATGAACTAAGAATGAACAAAACATCTTCAGCATTTATTAATCTTAGTTAATATTAATTCCAACATTTACTAATACATTATTAAAATCAAAGGTTGTATTAGTTAACATTAGTAAATGCACTGTGAACTAACAAGAACGCACAATGAACAGCTGTATTTGTATTAACTAACATTAACAAAGATTAATAAACATTGTAACTACTGTATTGCTCATGGTTAGTTCATGTTAGTTAATGCATTTACTAATGTTAAATAATTAACCTTATTGTAAAGTGTTACCATAATTGTATTCAGCAAGGATGCATTCAATTGATCAAAAGTGACAGTAAACACATTTACAATATTACAGAAGATTTACACTTCAAATGCATCGCAGTTGAACTTTCTATGCATCAATGAATCCTGAAAAAAAGTGTTTCCACACAAATATGAAGCATTACAAATGTTATAATAATAGAATACTAATCAGAAATGTTTTTTGAGCAGAAAATCTGCATATTAGGATCATGTGACACTGAAGATGGGAGTAATGATTATGAAAATACAGCTTTGATCACAGGAATACATTACGGTTTAAACAGAAATTCAAACAGAAAACAGTTATTTTTAATTGTAAAAATATTGCACAATATTAACGTTTTTACTTTTCCTTAATAAATACTTAAACTTTTGAACAGTAGTTCTCCCAGAGTGAACGGTTTACTATTAAATATGTAAAAGTAAACTAACCTGATTTATGTTTAGTAGAAGGCGACACTGGTCTGCAGATACTGGAAGCTGGAGTCCGGGATCACACCAGGACCACTTCTGCCTTCACTTTATATGGAGCTGGAATAACAGTGTGTGTGTGTTTGTGTAACATCATGGTGGGTGTGTCTATGTATGCAGATTAGCATGACATGATAAAAGCAGAGGGTGTGTAGTGTATGTGTGAGATTAGAGTGGAAGTGCAAACTACTGTGTGTGTGAGTCTGTGAGGCTTGCAGTGAACAGAAATGAGACCCAATAAAAAGACACATGTTGAATGTGTCACGTCCATCTCTTTAGAAAACACGCAGAGACACTTTACAATCAATACTTAAAATATTCAGTTTCATTTTGGGGCAAAACTTGCAAATGCTATTTTGCTGTAACGTTCAATAAAAAAAAATCTTATTTTTACTGCTAGATAGGGGTCTCTTAGATTGTGATCCGATAAAAAAAAGTTTTATAAAAATCAATTATAATAACATCAAAGCCATGTTTTCTAAATTCCAGTGCTTCACAATTACTGCATATTGCCCTTGTATGCAATATAAGCACAACTATGAGTTATAATACTGTATTTCTACAGTAAACCGTTACTTTTCATCAGATCAGTGTCTTTGCTTCCCAGTAAAACACATCTAGACGTCCTTAAAGTAAGATATATTCACCTGAGAAGCAAAAGATGATGCATAAGATAATAAGACTTGTTTTCAGAGAATATAACAGCATTTAATCTTGATCCATTTCCTAATGTCCATTTTTGCACTGCATTATCGCTCTAATGGGCGGTTTGAGTCACTGCTTCAGGCTTTCTATATGGAAAAATCTCATTCTGCCAATGTTTCTTAGGGAAAACATGCTGTCCAGACCCTTTTAGGTGCTTTGGGAGACTATGAGTCACAGGCATGAGCTCACCTTTACATTGGAGAACAGGCAACTTTCTTTCACCATGAACTTTAAATCAGAAGATGTAATGCTTTGGTACAATACGAGAGCTTGTCAAAGCAGTTTGAGCTTCGCAAGTTACATAACAGAGGGTGAATGCTGCCCACTGCTTATAAATGGGCTTTTTCATGAACATTTTTGGCCAAAACTAAAAGGTTAGTGTTATGAGCATATGTTTTTATATTCATATACACTCACCTAAAGGATTATAAGGAACACCTGTTTAATTTCTCATCAATGCGATTTATCTAATCAACCAATCACATGACAGTTGCTTCAATGCATTTAGTGGTGTGGTCCTGGTTAAGACAATCTCCTGAAATCCAAACTGAAAGTCAGAATGTGAAAGAAAGGTGATTTAAGTAATTTTGAGTGTGACATGGTTGTTGGTGTCTGAGTATTTCACAATCTGCTCAGTTACTGGGATTTTCACGCACAACCATTTCTAGGGTTTACAAAGAATGGTGTGAAAAGGGAAAAACATCCAGTATGCGGCAGTCCTGTGGGCGAAAATGCCTTGTTGATGCGAGAGGTCGGAGGAGAATGGGCCGACTGATTCAAGCTGATAGAAGAGCAACTTTGACTGAAATAACCACTTGTTACAACCGAGGTATGCAGTAAAGCATTTGTGAAGCCACAACACACACAACCTCGAGGCGGATGGGCTACAACAGCAGAAGACCCCACCGGGTACCACTCATCTCCACTACAAATAGGAAAAAGAGCCTACAATTAGGAAGAGCTCACCAACATTGGACAGTTGATGACTGGAAAAATGTCGCCTGGTCTGATGAGTCTCGATTTCAGATGGTAGTCAAAATTTGGCGTAAACAGAATGAGAACATGGATCCATCATGCCTTGTTACCAATGTGCAGGCTGGTGGTGGTGGTGTAATGGTGTGGGGGATGTTTTCTTGGCACACTTTAGGCCCCTTAGTGCCAATTGGGCATCGTTTAAATGCCACGGCCTACCTGAGCATTGTTTCTGACCATGTTCATCCCTTTATGGCCACCATGTCCCCATCCTCTGATGGCTACTTCCAGCAGGATAATGCACCATGTCCCAAAGCTCGAATCACTTCAAATTGGTTTCTTGAACATGACAATGAGTTGACTGTACTAAAATGGCCGCCACAGTCACCAGATCTCAACCCAATAGAGCATCTTTGGGATGTGGTGGAACGGGAGCTTCGTGCCCTGGATGTGCATCCCACAAATGCTATCCTATCAATATGGGCCAACATTTCTAAAGAATGCTTTCAGCACCTTGTTGAATCAATGCCACGTAGAATTAAGGCAGTTCTGAAGGCGAAAGGGGGTCAAACACAGTATTAGTCTGGTGTTCCTAATAACCATTTAGGTGAGTGTATGCCTAATCAAGACACTTCCCCTGAAATACTACAACACAAAACACAAATTGATTCAAAACAAAGCATAATGATATAGAGCTAGTCAATGCACATCTGAAATGAGCAACACTGACCACAAGGCTCCTTTTTGATTTCCGCCATACCCATGCAAGCAGTACATGGCGTTTCCTGTGCGAGTTTCAGAAACCACAGGTTAGTCACGTGATCGAGCTTCCACGTTCAGCGCTTTGTTCCGCTCTACTGTCGGTCCATGCATATAGGAAGCGAATCGATTATGCTTGAAAGATAGTGAGGCGTAAAACGATGCCAATGTAAAACAACACAGCTCAAAACCAAGAGCAAAAGGAGAACGAAGACAGGCAGACGAGGATGGAGGAACAGAAGGAGGATCCCTCGTTCTTGGGTGAGCAAAGGATGATCATGATTGAAGAGCAGATGTACAGTATACATGCATGAAGACGACATGCACATATTTGTCAAAACATGTCTGAACTTCTTTGCATTAGACAAACAATATATCAAAGCAAGAGTTTGTATCTTCAGAGCCTTTTTTCATTTACCAACGACAGCACAAAGTGTCACAATAATATAAGAGGAACCTGAAAAACCAACAAACCGGTACCAAAAAGGTACATTTTTAGACCTTATTTATTTAGCCTTGATGGCTGCATATTAGTAAACTAAAGGTATGTTTGTACTAGGGATGGGCAACGATTAATCGCATCCAAAATAAAAGTTTGTGTTTACATGATATATGTGTGTGTGGTGTGTATAATTATTTTGTATATATAAATACTAACACATGCATGTATATATTTAAGAAAAATGTGTTCTTAATATATCAAATATTTATATTTATACATAATATTAATTATGTATAAATATAAAGTATATACATGCAAATATTTCTTAAATATATACATGCATGTGTGTGTATTTATATATACAAAATCATTATACAAACCACACACACATATATTATGTAAACATAAACTTTTTTTTTGGATGCGATTAATCGCGATGAATCATTGCCCATCCCTAGTTTGTACTACAAGCAGTTTTTGAACCTTTTTTTCCTGAGAGCGTACTGACGGACTCATTTTCAACACCCAAATGGCTTTATGCCAAATGTTTTGCTTGAAAGGTGCGTTTTTGCCATCATACTTTAAATGAATGATACTTGCTTTAATATTTTGCTATCTAAGATAAGATCTTCTTCCAAAGGGAGATTCAGGCTTTGTCTCACTAAAAAGACAGTGGTATGACAACTGTAAACTATTTTTTTTTAAATAATATAATAATAAAAATACACTTCTTTAAATATAAAATACATTACATACATATACTATCATTCAGAAGTTTGAGCGCAGTAAGATTTTTTTTAAATGTTTTTTAAAGTCTCTTATACTCAACAAGGCAGCATTTATCAAAAATACAGTAAAATCGAAAATATTGTTACTAAATTTAATTGAATATATTAAAATGTAATTTATTCCTGTGATCGAAGCTGAATGTTCATCATCATTACGTCACATGATCCTTCAGAAATCCGTCTAATATGAGGATTTCTGATTATTTGCAATGTCGAAAACTGTTGTGCAGCTTTATATTTTTGTAGAAACTATTAGGGATGGGCAACGATTAATCGCATCCAAAATAAAAGTTTGTGTTTACATGATATATGTGTGTGTGGTGTGTATAATTATTTTGTATATATAAATACTAACACATGCATGTATATATTTAAGAAAAATGTGTTCTTAATATATCAAATATTTATATTTAAACATTATATTAATTATGTATAAATATATAAAGTACATACATGCATATATTTCTTAAATATATACATGAAGAGTTCAGATGCAAAAGCCTCTAAGTGCCATTTGAAATTTTCTTCTAGAATGGTCATTTTTATCAAGCTTATATATTCAAGTTCAGTAATTTCACTTAAATGACAATTAATAGGTAATCATCATTGCCATTTAAGTGAAATTACTGAACTTAAATATACAAGCTTGATAAAAATGATCATTCTAGAAGAAAATTTCAAATGGCACTTAGAGGCTTTTGCATCTGAACTCTTCACATGCATGTGTTAGTATTTATATATACAAAATAATTATACACACCACACACACATATATAACGTAAACACAAACTTTTATTTTGGATGCGATTAATCGCTGCCCATCCCTAAAAACAATGATACATTTTTTTCATAATTCTTTGAGGAACAGAGAGTTCAAAAGAACATGTTTAGTATATTATAAATCACTTTTGCCCAATTTAATACATCCTTGCTGAATGAAAGTATGAATTATTTTAAAAGTAAACATTACCTATCTGTCACAGACAGGAGGCCGCAGACGGTCGAGGCGAATGGAGGAAGTCTTAGTCACCAGCCGTCTCCTCTTCCTGAACTGCGTGTGGTTTTACTCGGCCGCAAAGGTGCCGGGAAGAGCTCAGCTGGAAATACCATCCTAAGCCTGGCAGGAGGGTTTGAGACGAATAAACCGACCGAGGAGTGTGTGAAGAGGCGTGCCGACGTGGAGGGAAGGCGCGTCACGGTCGTGGACACACCAGGATGGGAATGGTACTATCCGGGGAACGGGACTCCCGGTTGGGTGAGGAGAGAAACCAAGCGAAGCATGTCCTTGTGTCCGCCCGGCCCTCACGCCGTTCTTCTAGTGGTGCGATCCTGTACGTCAGTGACCGCCGACTACCATCAGCAGATCGAGGAGCACCTGGAGCTTCTGGGAAAAGCGGTGTGGGATCACACACTGGTGCTGTTCACACGCGGGGACGAACTGGGCTCCATTCCCATCGAACAGAGGATTCGAAACGGAGGCAAGGCCTTCCAGAGGCTCCTGGAACGATGTGGGAACCGATTTCACGTTCTGGAGAACAAGAGGCGCCTCGATGATGGATCGCAGGTGAAGGAACTGATGAGGAAGTTGGATGAGCTGGTCGGAGAGAGAGGAGGGAGATATTATGAGATGGATGTGCTGCTTCTGGAGCTGGAGGCGGAGAGTAAACGGAGGGCGAGAGAAAGGAGGAAGAAACAGAGGCTGATGGAGGCGCAGACGCACAGAGGAACCATCAGAGCCGTGCTGACGAGTGAGTGGATAGATAGACAGAACAGAACAGATAGATGCCATGTCAGCATCTACGGCTATTTTCATGACAAAAATTCAATTACAAAAATACAAATATCATATAAATATAACGAATGCGAAAAGTGTTCTTCCTCAGAATTTTTGTCTTGTTTTCCAGTACAAATATCTAAACATGCTTAAGCAAGGTCTGGTACTACTATACTAAGATGAACACACATATACCCATATATATATATATATATATATATATGAAGAGTTCAGATGCAAAAGCCTCTAAGTGCCATTTGAAATTTTCTTCTAGAATGATCATTTTTATCAAGCTTGTATATTTAAGTTCAGTGATTTCACTTAAATGGCAATGATAATTACCTATTAATTGTTATTTAAGTGAAATTACTGAACTTAAATATACAAGTTTGACAAAAATCATCATTAAAGAAGAAAATTTCAAATGGCATTTAGAGGCTTTTGCATCTGAACTCTTCATATATATATATATATATATTTTAGGGCTGTCAAACGATTAATCGCGATTAATAACATCCAAATAAAAGTTTGTGTTTACATAATGTGGGTACACTGTGTATAATTATATATATATATAAATACACACACATGCTTGTATATATTAAAGAAATATTTTAATGTATACGTATAGAGATTTATATATAATTTATATTATATATAAATATTTTTTATATAAATTATATTTTTTCTTATATATACACATGCATGTGTATGTATTTATATATACAAAATAATTATACACAGTGCACCCACATATATTATGTAAACACAAACTTTTATTTTGGATGCGATTAATTGCTATTAATCATTTGACAGACCTAACATATAAACAAAAATAAAAAAAATTTGGGCCAAAAATGACCCGAACAGAGGAATAAGTTAATTTGAGATACTTTATTTACTTTAGACGCAAAATTACATAAGATATTAAGCCTTAAAATGTATCTAAATGCTTTAAAAAAAAGTGCCAAGGGTGTAAGAAAAATAAACATGTTTTGCCTTTTAATAAATTAAAAATAAAGTATTTGTTTTAAGCCTAAACTCACTTTATTTTGGGAATACCATATTTTACAATATACAATATTTATTTTGCATTTTATGCATCTTAATTTAAAAATATCTAGAAAATTGGACTGGAAAACAAGAGAAGTACTTTCTGCAGTGCATCAAATTCAACAGACAGATGTCAAAACTAATTTCTAACGGTGAGTTTGGGATAATTTTTTCTCTATAGAGGAAAACTATTCAGCTTTCAGTATTTCATATAAATTCACTAAAAAGAACCAATTGAAAAGAACTAGTTTTAAAAAAAATATTCAGTCACAAAAGAATGGTTTATACAAACATCTTACTATAGAAATGTCTATTATTTCAAGACTTAATTCCATAAATTTTGCTATGGCAGTGTACATGACACATTTTCATCACCCAGAAATGAACATTTTGTCATAATTTACTCACCTCATGTTGTTCCAAATGCGTGTTCATATACATCTGTGAAACACACACACACAAACAAAGTTAATGTTGCACTTTTTCACACACTGCAAAACAAAACAGGGAAACAAACAAAAGTACCATAAAGAAAAATCATAAAAATACATATATAACTACAATGGAAAAATCTCTTCCAGTCCACCATAGCTTAAAACATAATTCATGTTTGAGATTAATTCAAGCTTGGCCCATTTACACACATTGCACTAAGTGTGTGATGTCCTTGATTTAAATCAGCATTATTCTTCACATAAAATAACATAACACTAGTTTGGATCAAGATGAGTAGGAGCAACTCCTATTTATTTGTCAGCATTAATATGTAGTATATGACCTGAATGCATGTAAGCACTACAATCTTGGAAGATTTTAATATAGGCCTACATAATACAGTACATTTACACAGTGATGTAGGTAACCTGTGTTTGGCAAAAAGACTTAATAATAAAAATGCTTCTAAGGCCGTGTGTCCACCAAAGCGTTTTTCCCAGTGTTGTAGTACTAGAGACTCGGACTCATCTCGGACTCGGTCTCGAGACCATATTTTAATGGTCTTGGTCTTGTCATGGACTCGTGTCCATTTGGACTCGGAATTGACTCGTACTCGAACATTTTTTTTTTAGGACTCGGAATTATTCCCGAGTCCACTCGAGTTCAATTAAAAATATTTTTCATGATTATTAATGTATGTTAATAAAATATTTCTTTAAATTGATTGACACGCCCAGTGATTGGTGATTTTCTAGTGCGCAACTGCACATGACAAATTGTAATAAAATTACTTTTAACACCACCTACTATGTGGCCGTTTTACCCTAAACTGATCATATTTTTTAAACTCTAAGTAAATTCAGTAAAAAACAAAAAAAAGGATTTCTCTAAGTAAATAAAAGTAAATTAGGTAATCAACCCTCACTGGTCTCGGTCTCGACTCGGACTCGACCGTCTCTAGTCTCGGACTCGACTCTCTATGGACTCGGTGTCGACTCGGACTCGAGTGAGGTGGTCTCGACTACAACACTGGTTTTTCCACGCGCCTGGCGTATGTTTTCAATGGGAGCGTCGCGTTTTTTAAACACCATGAGCGTACCGAGGCGCTGAGTGTTTTTTTTCACGCTGAAGCGCCAAGCGCCCTGGTCGCTGGGAGTTGAAAAATTTTCAACTTTGGATAAAACACAGCGCTCATCACTGTCACTTTTTACCCAGCCATCCAATCACAGTGGTGGAGGGGCGGGACTAATACCACACCGACCAACTGTCACAACATTCAAACTGCTGCGGATATTCTGTATCATAGCAACGAAACGTCTCAACAGAAAAAACGCTGCGCTGCCAAAACGCTCTCAAGCGCCCAAAGCACGGCATCTTCAGCACAGCGTCTAGAGTTTTCAGCTGGCTAAAAACGTTTTGGTGGACACACGGCCTAAATGACATGTCAACAAAAGCCATTATTCACAAGTAACCACTTAATTTAATTGTTTCTGTGTATTGTGTCTCCTGTCCCTGCTAGACGATAACACTCAAACTGAAGACATGGATGAGAGGAATCTCTTCTCCAGAGGTTCACGGCGTCTCCCGGAGCTGAGACTGGTTCTGCTGGGAGAGAGAGAGACGGGGAAAAGCTCGGCTGGGAACGCCATCCTCGGAGGACCCGGACACTTTCAAAGCGGAGAGGCGACGGAGGAGTGTTCGAGACAGCAGATGGAAGTTTCTAACAGACTGGTGACGGTGGTGGATGTGCCTGGATGGGAGGGCGGACCGGAGGGAACAACTCCTGAGAGAGTGAAGCGAGAGATTGGAATGAGTGTGATGTTGTGTCCTCCCGGACCTCATGCGTTTCTTTTGACATTGCGCGTGGATGCGTTTGTCCAAGCCCAGCCGGTGCGGGAGCACATGGAGCTTCTGGGGGAGGCGGTTTGGAGACATACGTTGCTTCTGTTCACGAGGGGCGACCAGCTGCGAGAGGGAGTCACCATTGAGCAGCACATACAAGGAGGAGGAAAGGAACTTCGCTGGCTGGTGGAACGATGTTCAAATAGGTTCCATGTCATCAGCAGCAATTCTAATTTGGAACCTCGGAATTCCAAAACACAAATAACGGAACTTCTGGAGAAGATTGAAAAGATGGCGGCGGTAAATCGATGCGAGGCCTTCTCCCCGCTAGTGCATGAGATTCAAGAGCTGGGAAGACAAAAAAACGAGAAAATTCAACTGAAGGTCAAGGAGTTTAGTGAGAAGCTTCAACGACAGGACGAAGAACTGAAGAAGATGAAGGAACGAGAGGTCAAGAGCATTCGGTGGTTTTTCGAAAGACGCAAGAAAGACAAAGTCCAATCTCCCGGGAAGGCCGAGAGGGAAGAGACGCCGTACAAAGGCGAAGATGACAGGAGGAGTGTGATGGGCGAGCTGGAGGAGAGGATGGCGTGGTTAACGGAAGACAAGGAGCGAGAGATACATGACCTGAACGCCGAAATAAGCAAACTCATGGTGACTCACCATCAGGGACTGAAAGAGAAAGAGCAACTGCTAATGAGATCAGAGGAACGAGAGCGAGAGGGGGAGGAACTTAAAGAGAAAGTGGATGAGCTTCAAATTAAACTGCTAGAACAGGAGCGCTTGGCTGCCGTGAAAGAGCAAGAACGAAAAGAGAGAGAGGCCGAAATTCAGCGAGCACATTTGGACGAGAAGAATGAACTTCAAAATAAATTGTTGGACGCTGAAAAAGAGACTGATAGGATGAGAGGAAAGGCTGAGGAAAGTCAAAAAGAGATGGATTCATTACAACGCAGGTGTGAAGAAGAGGCCAGGCAAAAGGAGAGCAAACTGAAAGAGAAGGACAATGAAATTGAAAACATTTTAAGAGAAATCGAGGAGGTGAAACTTAAGGCTGAGAGCAGAGAAAGAGAACAAGGTGAGATATTCAGGGAAAAGGTTGAGAAGAGAGAGAAAGAGATGAGAGGGGTAATCGAGATGATGACAAAAGAGATGGAGCAGCTGCGAATGTCCAATCGAGAGCAAGCGAAAACGACCGAAGCCGAGAGAGAAATGCATGGAGACCTTATGGAGAAATACAACACGCTCATAGATAAACTTGAAGGGAAAGACAAAGAAATAGAGCGAACGATGAGAGAGAAGGAAAGAGAGCAGAATCGAAATGCTGAAACGCGAGAGAAGCTTCGGCAAAAAGAAGACGAAATAGTCGAATTGAGACAGCGAGATCATGAAAAGGACAGAGAATTGAAGACACTGAAGCAAAACATTAGCGAAAAACAGAGGGATACAGAAAAGTTAAAAGAAACCATACAGGCAAACACTGATAAACACACAGCGGAGCGTAAAGTTTGGGAGGAAGAGTTGAAAGCAAAAGAAGACGAAATTGACAAGTTAAAACAAAGAAACCTAGAGAATGAGAAATGCGTCGACAAACTGAAGCAAAACATTAGCGAAAAACAAAATGATATTGACAAGTTAAAAGCACGTATTGAAGAACATGCGGCTCAACTAAAGCACCAACAGGGGGAATTCAAAGTAAAAGAGGAGGAAAATGAAAAATTAAGACAGAGAGTCCAGGGGAAAGAAGAAGAAATTGACACACTTAGGCAAAGCATTAGCGAAAAACAAAAGGACATTGAAAAGTTAAGAGACTGTATTGAGTCGCATGCTGAAGAAAGTGCAGCTCGACTGAAGCATTTAGAGGAAGAGCTGAGGATAAAAGAGGAGGAAATAACCCAATTAAAACAAAGAGACGAGGAGAAACACAAAGAAATTCATACACTTAAGAAGAATATTATTGGCCAACAGCAGGAAGCTGAAAGACTGAAAGACATCATTCAGTCAAATATTGACGAAAGTGCAGTTCAAATGAAACGTTTAGATGACGAATTCAAAATAAAAGATGAGGAAATAATCCAATTAAGGACAAGAGACCTGGAGAAAGACAGAGAAATGAACACACTGCGTGAAAACATTCACGAAAAACAAAAAGACATTGAAAAGTTAAGAGAGAGTATTCAAGCACATATTGAGGAAAGTGCAGCTCACCTTAAACACTTAGAGGAGGAGCTACAAACAAAACGAGAAGAAATAACCAAATTGAATCAGAGAGATATGGAAAAAGACAAACTGCTGCAAACAATCAATGAAAAGCATGTAAGAGACATAGAAAAGTTGAAAAGCAGCATTCAAGCGAATACTGAGCAAGGTGCGGTTCAACTAAAACTTCTAGAGGAGGAGCTTGACGTGAAGATGGAGGTCTACAAAAGAAAGAATACGGTGATGGAAAAGGAGATGGAAAATATAAAGAAACAGTTCGAGGAAGCAAAACTAAAAATTCAGATGAAAGAGAATATCATCAGTCAGTTACAACAGCAACAAGCGGACACTGAAAGACGCTCGGAAGAGCTGAAACAACAGAAAATGCGTAACGACGCCCTACAAAACGTGAACGCAGAACTGGAGAAAGAGTTCGAAGAGCTGAAGCTCAAGTGTGAGGGACTTCAGACTTCAGCGGAGAGCTATGAGATCCAGATGAACGGGTTAGAACAACAGCTAGACGAGTTAAAACGGCTGCTGGAGGAGAAGGAGAGCGATATGCGAGACATGAAGGTGTATTACGAGGAAAGACATAAAGAGCATGAGACGGAGGTAGAACAGGAGCTTTGCAGAAGAGAGAGGGAGGTAGAGAGGAAAGAAGAGAAATTAGCACAAAACAAACAAGATTTGTTAACTAGAGAGGGTGAAGTTAATAGGAGAGAACAAGCGCTAACAGATGAAAAGCAGGATTTGGAGGTGCAGATGTACAGGATTAGAGAAGAGGAGAAGAATCTGGAAAACGAGGCCCAGAATAACCAACGTTTAGCTGTAGATCTGATGAGAATGAGAGAAGAGATTGAGAAAAGAGCAGAAGGGCTTATGGTTCAAGAGGAAAAATTAAAGGAGCAAGAGCAGCAGATGAAACGTCGAAAGGATGAACTACAAGCAACGGAGAGGATGTTGGAGAGCAAGGAGATGGAAATTAAAGACCTGACTGAAAAGCAGGAGAAAGATATGGAGAATCGTAGGGAGCAGCTGGAAAGGAGAGAAGAGGAGCTGTTCGAAATGGAGGAGAAATTTGTTAAAGAGCAACACAGGCTTAAGGGAGAAGAACAAGCCTTGGAGATGCTCAGAGCAAATCTGGAAACGAGAGAAAGTGAACTTCATAAACGAGAGCAGATGTGGGACGTTAAAACTCGTGAGCTTTTAAAGCGCTCAGAGGAACTTGAAAATAACAAACACAACGCGGAGAAAAGGCAAGCCGAGTTGAGCAACGAGGAAAGTAATATTCGGCAAAAAATAAAAGGATTGCAAGAAAAGGAGCAAGAACTTGACCTCAAAGGTCAAAGGCTGATGGAGCAATGGGACAGTACTCGACGTGAACATGACCTGGAGCTTGAGAGCATTAGAGAAGCGTTGGGAAAAAGGGAGCGAGAGCTGATTAAAGGTGAAGAAGAGCTTTCTCAACGAGAGCAAAAGCTGAAAAGTGAAGAAATCTATTTCGAGAAAAGAGAGCAAGTCATGCAAAAACGGGAAGAACAGCATGGAGACCTGTTACGCGGTCTGAAGAAACAGCAGGATGTTTTGAAAGACAGAGAACGCTCTTTAGACACCAGAGAAACAGACCTGCGTCAGCTGGAAATGCAGCTCGCGGCGAAAGATGACGAAAACAAATTTCTGCAGAACCAAGAGAGCGATTTTGAGGCCAAAACCCAAATGCTAGAGCTCCTAAAAACAACACTAGATGCGAGAGAAAAGGAGCTTGAGGAACGTCAAAACCAACTGGACAGCAGAACGCAGGAGGTAAATAATGAACGAGACAAGCTGGAAAGGAAGCGCGAGGAACTTGACAAATGGGAGAAGTATTTGTACAACACAGAGCTTAAATTGATACACAAAGAGCCTTCCACATGGGCAAACAGTGCTGAAATGAATGGGAAACAAATGGAAGGTGAAGACATCCATCTAATGCATCAAGACATAGTGGATGATGGTGGGATTTGCAATGCAAAAAACACAAGAAGTGAAGAGCGATTGGTGTTGGCTACTATGAAGTGTGTAAACAACAGATCGGTGAAGAACCAGAGGGTTAAACGAACACTGCAGGCTAAGCAAATTCAGGAAGATGGTGAGATTGACAATTCTGAAGGCGAAAGTGAGGAAGACTTCTTTGAATCTTCAAGCACCATCGGATGTTCACCCTGGCCCGTGTCTGATCTAAGGCTTATGATTATAGGAGACTCCTGGTCGTCCCGTCACCCAGCGAGATGCACCCTCGTGGGGCCTGATGCAAATGAATGCAACCCTTGGAGAGGAGAGATTTCCGGCAGGCAAGTCACTATTGTAGAGCCTCAGGGCCTGAAATGGAGATCTGGGATTGACAATAAAGGCACATTTCAAAAACATCTCTCTCAAAGTGTCTCTCTGTGTCAACCTGGACCACATGCATTCATCCTTGTGATTCCCGCTTATGTATCCTTCACTGGTCAGTACAGGCGTGCAGTGGAACGTACCGTATCAGCGTTAGGGGAAACATCATGGAGACACACTATTGTTCTGCTCACCTGGGGGGAAACATTAGGAGAGAGCGGCCCGCAACACGTGAAGAGATACGGTGACCTGGAGAGGCTGGTTCGCAGGTGTGGGAATAGATGCCACGTGCTTGACAACAGATATCGGGAATCTCACGTGGTTAAGTTGCTGGAGAAAGTTGAGGAGATGCTTGGAGGAAACAATGGATGTTGCTACAAACTGGACTGAAAAGGAGTGTTGGTTTTATGACTGTGTGAATTACATTTAAATATATAGACCTATCTGGTAGATTCTTGGCTTTTAAACTATATTTATGTGTTTAGGTGTACAAATGAAAATAAATCAGATTTTCAAAAAACTTTAGAGTAGGCTGTCTGTTTATGTACAAGAGTATGCAGATGCAAGTGTGTAATTCACACTCTTAACAGACGGTGGCGCACTTGTACAAATAGTTCCACTACGTTTCCCAAACAATGTTTTTCACTGTATTTTGTTATCATTAGCTAATTTATCATCAAATATGAGAAAGAATACGCTATTTTCTCTCTTTGTAATAAATACAATGAGGTAAAGTGCATGGTTCACTTCCAAAACGCCTTTTTTATGTTTAACGATCATTTCAGTCAAAAAATGAATCATAAAGAAGTTTAGTCGAGCTTCACATAATGGGTTACGAGATTGGAAAGAGACAAATTACTCACATTTAACACCGATTCAAGCTTATTGAAGGGATTCTCCGGAACGTGTTTTCCATTAGTGCCTCGGTGAAGTGGCGTCTTGCTGTGCTTCCGCTGTGATCCTGACAGGTAAATTATTACCTTAAAAATTGGGGTCTGTTTCGTCTGAAAGAGAAAAACCCTTCCCATCGAGGGAAAACACACATTTAAAATGAATTTCTCTTTTATGGCCCACATACAGAAAACCCAAACGCTTACATATAATCTGAGGTAATTACGAGGATAGTATTCCTCCGCCTCGCTATTAGGCGTGTCAAACAAATGAAATGTTGGAAAAATAATTCCTCAACAGCGTGTCGTTTCCGTGTGTGAAAGGGGTCTATTTCCAAGTCTTTTGAAAGAATCTATAATTTATCACTTATTACATCAAGTAGGCAGGCTACATATTTCATTTTATAAAACCAACATTGTTGGATTTTAGGAAAACACTTCAATTAGACGAAAATAATATGCAATCTAACTGAAAGTGTGTCTGAGTGCATTAGTCGACTTCTTTCATTTACCCATTAATTGCTATTTTGGGTTTTCTAGTCATTATCTGCACTATAGCTTTTTAAGGTAATAATGAACACGGCTGTGCTAACATCATTTCATCAGCAGAAACTTCAAATTTCAGTCTCCTCTTAAACTAGGCTACTTGACAGATGTGCATTCATAGGCATGCTTATTGTATGTGTAGTAAATCCTGCTATCTCTAATGGATGATAAAACCTCTTGACAATTCTAATTAGCCTAAATTCACTGCAATTACCATGTGCCCATTTCTCTTTTGGTCAGATCAGATCAAGCAATGTTGAGGTTTATATAAGAGGATGTAAAACACTCACTCCATTCATGTTTCAATGTATAATTATACTGTTTTAGTTTGACTGCTTGAAACTTTAAATGTAGGTTCTTCCAGATTCCCAACATGCAAAGTCACGAGTCAATGTAAGTAGGTGCATTGTTGTTTGTCTCCTGGTAGGAAAGGCATCTAAATACAGTGACTCCTGGAGACTCAATTCAAATGTAAATGAGATTAACATACAAATGCAGATAAAATGGTGCACTTTTCTGGGTCTGAAAGCAGGGTCAACTTCTGGAGAGATCATAGCATGTAAGTGTTGCATTACTCTATGAGTAAAAGGGGAACAAATCCACAATTGCATTCCCATGCCTTTTCAAAATAAGAAATAAAAAAGGATGAAATGTGGCATTCATGTCAAATTCATTCACTCCCTCAGCATCTCAATTAGAAACCCCATTTGCAGCAGTGTTTTCTGTTTTATTTATTTGTCATTTAATGATAACACAATGTGGTCATAATATGCACAGTACCGTTTAAAAGTTTAGGATCAGTAAGTGTTTTTTTGTTTTGAAAAAAAAAAAACTTTTTCTTCCTGGAAGAATGCATCAATTTGATCAAAAGTGACAGTAAAACAGCATTTATCTGAAATACATTTTTTTTAAATGAAATGCATCACAGTTTTCATAAAACATGAAGCAGCTTAGCTGTTTGTTACATAAAAAATATTTTTAATAGAAAAAAGAAAAGTATTTATAAATTCTTGAGCAGCAAATCATCATATTAGAGTGATTTCTGAAGAATGAGACACTGAAGACTGGAGTAATGATGCTGAAAATTCGAGCTCTGACCCTCCAGATGCCCTTTAAAATGCTCCTTTGGTGCTTGTATTTCCCCGTTTTCAAGAACTTCAGATGCTGTCTGCATGCACAGTGTGCAGCGAACTTATAAAGGTTAACCCGATGTCTCTGAGGGCAGACATATCAATTTTGATGGACCATGAGGAGCAACACTCTAAATAATGTCTAGTCTTAAATGCTGATCCAGGAACAGTTTTCCGATCCTTAAATATAGCATCATATTTGGAGAAAAAAACTACAGAACTGACCTCAGAGCAGCATATCTGTGAGTAAAGGCCAACCTTTAGCCACATTTACAAATGGACCATTAAGCAAAGACAATTTTAGGCAATTTCTGTTACCTTGAAAAGTTTCATATTGAACCCGCATATTATATATTGCAAATGGTTTTATGGCTTATCAAATGTCACTTTATTCACACTTCACAGAACAGTCCAGTTTAAAGAAAATCCCAAAAGCGACCCAAAATGAAGATCATGCCAGTCTTTTTAATAAAATTAACTTTTTATTAAGAAAAAAAAGTCAAATAGATGTCAAATAGACGTTTAGAAGACGTCTCTAAGATGTAATGATTTAGAATGCATGTTAAACTGACATCTTATAAACGTCTATTTGACATCTGATAGGATGCAGATGAGCAAACACTCTTAAAAATACGTCTAGCACATCAAATAGGCTTGTGCTATCTGGGTTGTTTTTGCCCCCATTTTTCATGAGTTGAACTCAATGATCTAAGACCTTTTGTACACAAAAGGCCGATTTCTCTGAAATATTGTTCAAAACTCAGCAGCAAGATGAAAAATTGTAAACTTTTCAGTATGGGAGTGCACGTGCACCCACCCAAACACTGATTTCTTCCACGGCCACCTCTGGTATCAGTAGGATGGTTGACATTGGTGAGAACTGTTGATTGAACTGCTTGTTCTTGACCTGTAGTGCGTGAACCTGTAGTGTTTCTTACCAAAGCGACATTGTTATACTGGCCTTGCATGAATAATACAGCGTTATCGTGGACGGGGATCGTTTTGACAGCATTGTCGCCTGTACGTGAAAGACACAAAGGTAAAACTTTCCCGTTTTTAGTACATCGTTGTTCTGTAGGCTAAACGTACAATTCAGCTGACTTGTTGCCAGGCAATAACTTGCAGGCAGAGTTTGCGCACACAGATTCCTCACGAAACTGATTTCGGACAGATTTCTGGGGCAGCGTAACGTTTTAATGATCTACAGTAAAATAGAATGAGTTTGGGGAGAACTAACTTAATATTTAATTACAATAGCGAAGGGTACATCTGCTGCCTTCAGAAATAGACCAGATGAAGGTATCTCTGGAGACAGTGGAACTAACATTGGATTCGGATGTGCCTTGCCTTCCTTGAATGCAGCATTTTTAAGCTTTCGGACACAACCATGGTCAACCAAGGCAAACAGAACTGGGAACCCATTAAACTAAACCAAAACAGAACATACACTTGACATGACAATAAAAGTTAACAGACGCCTCAAAACACTTATATATCATCAAAGCTGTATCTTTTGTCGGGGACAAAACATATTTAATGCAATACATTGATGATTGAGAAATGAACAAATAAACTTTCCTCAAAAGCCTGATGGATCATATTTGATACACATTTTAACACGATTTCTCTCTCTCTCTTTCTCTCTCTCTCTCTCTCTCTCTCTCTCTCTCTCTCTCAAAAAAAAAATTGGATTTGGATTTATGGATAATAAGTTGTTCATCCTGAAATATTACTAACAATTCAAAAGATATTTATAACCGTCAGTCAAGATTTCACAACAAGAAGACTCAAAATTCAATGCAAAAAAGGTCTTCAACTTCCTAAAAACATTAACAGACAATAGAAAGCATGCAGACTGTGCAGAACAACACTTTTCCCACAGTTTTAATCATGTTGATCATTTAGAGGCCTCTAAATGCAAATCATGACAATCAACAATGAAATCATCAAAACATCTGCTTCTTTTAGCTGTAAAATACTTTATTTCATAATGATTTCCTGTCTGTTCATTTCAAAGCTTTAAAAATCTGCTTTTGAGTTCCACAAGAACAAAAAGCATTCAGCTTTGGAATGAACAAACTATGACAGAAATGTCATGAACGGGTGCACTAAACTTTATAATTTTTTTTTTATTTTTTTATTTTATTATTCTACTATAGTCTGGTGAGCACTAGATGGCACTGTTCTCTTCACTTAGTTCTCTCTCTCTCCAATTATCTCTCTTTTCAGTTAGTCGGCGAGGCATCATCTGCTATGGGTTAAAAGCAAGGTCATATTCATAGTTTTAGAAAACAGTTGAATGCGTGCGTGCACAATGTAAACCTCACGGGTCTCAGGTGAGGTGCCCAAAACCCGCAGAATCACGTGACCTCTGAGTGACTTCCACATAGCAGTGTGTGTCTGTGGGATCAGGGATGTGAACACACTCGCCTCGGGGCCTGTAAACAACACGGGGAAGTATCGAGGGTCGCAAGTTCAGGTCATCCTGTCATCGCTTGCAAATAACAGATGTGTCTGATGTTTTTCGCTTTTTGTTAACTTACACTCATATTCGGTTTATTTGCAATATTAGTGTATGGCTTTGGTCATCTTAAACGATCCATATTCATTTTCAAGGGTGTTGCCTTTAGCAATGAATAGGGCAGAAGTCAAAAGTTCAACTGTAAGCCACCTAGTGGAAGAATTAAGCGTAAGCTATTAATATCTAAAGAATCATGACGCGTTTAATGGGCTATATGCACGCATAAATTCCGCATTTGACGCAAGGATGCTCGTCAGTTTCCGGTTGGGGAGGAAAACGGGATTAAGACAGTCTTCAAAATTTACTGTCAAAAATAATCTTTGAAACGAAACTTTCATACGTTTAGATGTAATTTTATATATAGTTATGTTTATTTAATATAATTTTAAAAAGAAGCATAAACACAACGAGGGATGTCTGTTTTGTCTGTTTTTGTGACTAACGTTTTTTTTAGTATAATCATGGAGTATAAAACTCAATATAAATTCTCGATTGCATTGGACTCCACTATCGGCGGAAGTTATCGAGCATCCTTAAGCTTTCACCGGAAATACCGCCGTGCATAAAGCCCATTATCACATTTGGAGTCCACACTACACACATATGTTCTCCATCTGTTTGTGTAATAATATGTATAATTTATCTCGATCATTCTGACTGGAATTTGTCCAGAGATACAGCTTATTTTGCTCAAATGACAGCTCTGCAAACTGCTGAACAGCGTGCATTCTGAAAGAAGATTAAACAGTTCTTAGTCTGTGTTTGTTTACACCATTTGATTAGTAAGCTACTAAGTAGGGGTGTAACAATACTCTCATGTCACGATTCAATACATATCACAATACCGAACTTACGATTCGATTTTTGACATGGTAAAAGGTTAACAAAAAATAAACTGTTGATTAAAATGCTACATTTGATATGACATTGTTGGTTTATAAATAAATAGGCTTGATGCTGATAACCCAATGCACAGGACAATATTCAAAAATATACTATTTTAGATGAATATGCTTGCACACTTTCAATAGATATATTTAAAATAATGTAGGCCATTTTTTACTGGTAAAATAAGATATCTGGCCCCAAAAATATATTATCATAAGGACCTACAAATTTCCCCCCATTGCATTATTATATATTATATTCAACATTATAGTACTTTAACGTAGTACTGAATTTTTTAAGTTTATTCGGTGTGTTTGATGGCAGGTGTGACTGGTCTCTTCCTAAAAATCACAGTCTAGCACTGTCTAACACCATCTACGTTTCTACCGCACAGAAATGTATTTTTGACGAGCGAAGGGTAACGGAGATGGAGCTCCCTCCATTTTGGTTTTATCTCAATTACCTGCATGAAATTTTGATGCTGGCGCTGAGAGTGCATGGTAGCATTTCTATGGGGCAGATTAAAGATTGATCATGTAATGAGGTCTCGCCTGAAAGGGTAGCGGAGGTGGGAGTGTGAACGCTTGTGTCTGTAGCGTGTTCGTGCTGAAACCAAAGGAACCAGTGAGGCAGTGCTCTGAGAAGGCCTGGGTCTGTGTACTCACTCTGTCACTCACCCGAACCCGGGTCTCTGCCCTGGGAGGCGGACGCGCTAACTAGTACGTAAAAGACAGCATTCTCCAGCATCAGTCGCTAGCTCACTTCTTGGGATCAAGGGAGTGAAGTTTACCCGCACAGGTCTTACTAGCCAATGTCCGTTACATCTGGATCAGTTTAGCCATAAAGACTTTATTTTCTTTATGCTTAGAGTCACAAAGACAGGGTTTTCCCATACTGTCTTTGGGCAGCGCGATTTTATTCACGCTGCTAGGCTAGGCAGTATGGATACGATGTAACCAGATTTGTGCCTCATGAGGAGACCAATCACAGAACGGGGAGGGAGCAGCAACGATGACGACGTTTATGCGTCACCGAAGCAGTTTGTTTATATATGGATCAAACATGGCAGCAGGCCATCGATGCAGGCTTAAATATTGTTCTAGTGTAGAACGCAAATAAATCTCTGACCCATCGTCTAATTTCTGTCGCTCTACTATAATTATTTAAAACGATCGGCTATGAGCTATGTACCGGCGCATAGACATTCGTAGCACCCGATAAACGGCTCAGGCATCCACGCCTCAAATACGACAATATTAACATGTGGTTCCCAGACCATGAGACGTGGTGGTCTGACGTAGCTAGGCTAAGAGACCCCCATGGTTTAGGGGGGACAATCACTTTGAAATTAAACTATTAATTTGCATTTGAGTGTTTCTTTGACCTCTTTTGTTTTACCACAAACCCAAAAAAGTTTTGCTAACGTTTCCATTAAGTTACAAAAACTTTATTTTTCTGAACATCAAGTTAAAAAAATAAATAAATAAACAATTAATACGTTTTTTTATAATGCAAACGGGGGAACATTACTTTTTAATAATTTTGCAAAAATGATGCCTTACTTTTAATGTTCGTTCTCTGAACATTCTGAAACAAGTAACATTATTGAAACATTCCACGAATGATGCGTTTTGAGAACATTATCAAAGGCCAGATAACTTTTTTGAATGAACATTCCTAGTGGATGAACGTTTATTCATAACTTTGAGAGAACCTTGTCAGAACTTTTTAAACGTTCTCCGTGATTTTCAATGCAGATTAGTGATCGTTAGGGTATAATTGATTCTGGTGTCGAAAATATAACTTCAAAGAAATGTGTTCAGTGTTTCTTTGACCTCCTTTGTATAAGCCCGGCTAACAAAAATATGTTCTGAAAATGTTTTGCTAACGTTTCCATAGACATCCAGTATTTTAGAAAATGTTTTAAGAACGTTTTATTCTTGGTTCGTGATTTTCTATGTAGATTAGCTATAATTGAATCTGATAATAACGAAAATAAATTACATTCTTTTTGGGGCTTTCTCTGAATCCAAACAGACACTTTGACGGGGAAAGTTAATGAATAAGAAAAACGATGCATCAATGAAGGCAGAGCATTAAAATTGCATGAGACTTACAGCTGAATGGTAGATTCGGGACAGCGAAGAAGCAAAGCAAATGTGCCTGAGGTGGAAGTGAAGAAGAATAGAGTTGCTCTGGGAACTCATTGGCTCTGTGGAGGCCGGTGACGGGGCTTCTCCGGGACGTCTGCTCAGATTGCTTTTGTTTTGATGTATCAGTGGCAGTGGTTTCACGTGTGCCCGCCTGGGCAGTGGAGCTCGACTAGGGCACAAAATGTCTCCTGGCAGTGCCCGCTACGCGGTGGATTTTATGAGTGATTTCACAACACATGCGCTCAGTGAAAACGGACTAATTACACAGAGACAGAACTGGCAGACACGGGCCAAATAGAGTTAAGGAGCTGGAGCCCAATTTTAAAATTAACAATTCTTTTATCTTTCTTTAATTTTATTTTAAAATGTGCGCATGGTCTTCAATCAGGAAAATGCCACAGGCCTATTCAACGCAAAAATGTCAATTGCATGGTCATTTCAGTAATGATTTAGACAAACATTTTGTTTGCCGACAGCCAAACTGACCATCGTGTCAGTGCGTCTGAACAAGACTGATACAATGTAAATACGAAAGATGCGCTCACAAAGATGCCCTATCCATTACTGCAATTTTCTCTCAGGGTGAATAGTTCACATCGCATCACATGAACCCGCGCTTCTGCTGCTGTTGCCATAGAAACCCGCAATAGACTCAGGTTGACTTTCTGCAATAGGTTAATGCGTCCTGACTGACACCGCACGCACCTGTCCTCCGTTTGACAAACGTTGCGTTGCATTATTTCTAGGCGGTTTCACTCACCTTGGTTATGTTGTCATTCTACAAAAATGGCTATAGGCTTCTAGTTATACTGCCAATATGCAAAACAATGCGTGATGGTCATTGTTTTTGATAGATCTTATCTCATGTTAGCAAAAAGACTACGAGTTTACGCGTGTCTTGGTTATCATTTACTTAGTATTTGTTTCATAATTTATTTTAAATAGTTAGAATTGTTAGAAAACCAAACGCATGAGTAAACGCGGAACTGTAAAAGTTTAAAAAGCATTGAATTGTAGATTTGCACCTCAAGTCCAAATATTTTTGAAAATATGCCAAATTATTATTAGTGGAAATAAAAGCATTCGCTATTATGGTTCGGTGACCTAATTATATTGTGCATCAGTTCATCGCAGTGTAATAGAAAGTGGCTGTTTTATATGAAACGAAGATAAACTCTTAAAAACTTATTTGGAAACACTAATAGCCTACATGGTCTTGCTTGTTTTTTCCAAATCAAATAGCTTGATTACAAATGTTAAGTTTGGATTTTTAGCCAACCTAAAAGTGTGAATAGCCACTATACAAGTTTTTGTATTTATTTCAATAAAATAAGATGCTTTTCGTATAATATTCTGATTCGTTAATTATTTTAAAACTCAGATAATGAACAGTAAAACTTAAAGTTGTTTTTTATGGCGTTAAAAAAAGGATTGCGTTAAAATATCTTCTAATTCCGTTGTCCATTTATTAATTATGCATAGCGTCTCAGATGTAGAAAAAGAGGAGATTTTATAGACTGGCTGAGAGGTTTGAGTTTCCAGAAAGCGTCCAGTCCCTTTTCACAGAATCACAGGACACACGCGAGGCTGGACGAACACAAGGTAGAGCAATAGTCTTCCTTCTTTAAACAGTTTTGATTATAAAAAATGTTTAAAAAATAGCCTATATATACACACGCGTAGAATAAGTGATTTTTATATTAATTTTTTTTTATTTCTGTTTTGAATGTCATTTTAAGAGGAATATTAGCTAATATAGCCTATAGACTTTGCATTTAGGTAATATTTAGACTTTGATTTTGCATTGTTTTTTATAATAGAAGAAACATTCCTCAAATCAACGAGTGTAGTTTATTTGTTAGTTTTGTACACATTTGCCTTTATAAATTTAATGTTAATTATAAATGTGTTTCTTTGAGCCAGTAACCGAGCGGAATGTAGGACCACGGGCTGCAGAGCTTCATCTCCCCGCGCGCGGTGCATTCACAGTTCACGGCGCCTCGACGCTAACGCGATGAGACAGGGGAACCTTTACAGCAACAAACGGGAGTATAGTATCAGGGAAGGCTGACCGAGCCGTGAACCGCGGCTCTAACACGGAGCAAATTAACATCAACAAAAATAGCACTGCGTTTTTAGCTCGCTTATGTGCGAAGCGGCAAATGCAGCCCGCGGTGTCAGGTCATCTTTGCGCGGGGATGCAAAGCGAATCCTCCCGCTTACCGTCAGGTGGACCCGGGGTCAAGACATTTAGACCTGTTCACCTGGATGATCCGGACGGAGAGAACCAGCACCGATCGAGTTGATGTGTGTGTGTGTGTGTGTGTGTGTGTGTGTGTGTGTGTGTGTGTGTGTGTGTGTGTGAAAACAAAATTTCAGTTTATGTCTGTTAGTCCATGTCTGAGACCACAAAAAAAGTTCATTTCAGAAACCCAGCTAACAAAAAAAAAATTTGTTTGACAAAATAACCTACGTTCCGATAAAGTTAGCTATTAAAACGTTCAAAATATTCAGGTCTTTTACATGTTTTTTTTTCCTGGGTTATACAAATGTGAAATGAACATTCTAATTTATAATTTTGCAAACAAACATTATGGGAACATTTCTTTTAAATGTTCTCGGAACGTGGAACAAATAATAAAATGTTATATGAACGTCCATCTGAAATGTTTCAGGGGGGAAACGTAGTATTATGCTAACATTTTGGGAACATTATCAAAGACCAGAAAACTGAATTAAAGTTAGTTACTGGAAGAAGGTTTATTCATAACTTTGAGAGAACCTTGCCATAATCTTCTGCATAGCTACCAATTAGTTTGCAGAAGCATATTGCTGTCTAATAAAGTTGAATGCCATTTCAGGTTTATGATGCCCAACGAAACCAGAAATTAGTATTGCGAGTGGCCTGATTTCCACAAAATAAGCCATGTATCTGAGGATATCAGTTAAGCTTATTGAATTCTTCATGCATTTTATTGCAAACTGCCCATGAAATGTAATTTTCGGTAAATAGCCTAGAGACACAAGTGAGACTTTTGCAAAGGGCAGGAGAGGTTCAAGCGGACATGACTGAAAAACTACATGTTCGTCCTGTTAAAATGGAGGCATGATTTTAAGAGAGAAAGACACGAGATCACAAGCGTGCCGCGATGAAATCCAGTGTGTGACGTTTCGGTTAAGAGAGAGCGACCATAGGGCTGGTAATGAAATAGAGAGATAGAGAGAGGCAGATGCTTTGAAGACACACTCCATTAGGTGAAGGCAGTGCAGTGTGACGGGTCTGGGAGGATCTTAAAAGCCTCTGCTGACTCTGGCGAGGTGATGTGTCAGTGCGCGTTTGAGGGAGCACATCTTACCCTCCTGAACCCACACGGGCCTCTGACTCGGACAGCTGTTCAACAGTTCACATCTATACTAACAGAAATCTTTGCTTACAGATGAAAATTCCGTATAAAAACTGTAATGTACTGTATAGGCTACACATATTAAAAAAAAAAAAAAGTTTTTAGAGCTCAGTGTTAAAGAACCTCTAAAATGGTTCTAGAGAAATATCTTAAATGATCTCAAAATAATTTCACGTTTTATGGGTTGTTTCTTATTATATTGATAAAGCATGTACAAGCTTTTTAATGTATACAATTTAATCAGAATTAATGGACAAAATTAATGAAAAAAATAGCCTAAATCCATAAAATGCGAGTGCAACAGTGCACGTTCACTTTTTCAGCGGAAAAATTTTCCATCAATTTCTCCAGAGGGATTATGTCTTTGTTAAAGCGTTGTAAATTATAAACCAAACCATCTAGCCATGAACTGAGTCATAAAACTACAAATTTAATTTTGAGGACCAAATATTGACAAAAATACAAAGGAAGATAGCTAATTAGGGAAAGAACTACAATCCCACGAAGCATTGCGAGCATAATCGAATTATGATCACAAACGATGGAGAAATATAAAACTACACATTTATAAACCTGATTATATATACTATATATGGGGTGGTATCACCAATTCAATGGAGTGATGGGTGGAGCTTACGAGAGATGGTTGATGCTTTCACTCTGGTGGAAGGTGGAATTGTCTGCACAGCATTATGGGTAATGTAGTTTTTCCACTACGAATTTAGACTTTAAAGGTCCCCTGACATGGGGTTATTTTTATTATTTTATAATGTTTCCTGGGTTGCCCTTATAATGTTAGTATGTTTTTTAGGTCAAAAATAGTCATAATTTATAAATAAAAGGCATTTTTCTTAGCCTGATTTTAGCCTCTGCTTTGAACGCTCTGTTTGAAGGGGCGTGTCTGCTGTGTGTAACCGGCCTCTGCTGTGATTGGCTGACATGCTTGCATATGAAATAGCTACATATTACATGTGAAACTCTCTCGAATACTTTTACTAGAGCTATTATACGTTTTTACTATTACAGATATCAAGATTACTGAATCATGAGAAGTTTTTGAAGTATTTAGATTCTCATCACAAAATGTTGCTGTGATGAGCATTGAGCAACATATGACAGTCTGTCGATCGCGATAATGATCTTTCAAGATCTTGTTGCAACACAGTTTCTGCACTCTCTGCTTTCACCAATGCAAACACGATGATGTACATACAGTAAGAGCTTCGTTGTGCAGTGTAACACAGTTTCTGTTCTCTCTAAAGCCACCAGAAGTCGTCCGCTCTCGTCGAGGTAAAAAGCTGCACTTGAACTCACCAAGAGAACTACAGGCGACTGATAGCTAGAATGTGCGTTCTGCGCCTGCGTTTAATAAGCCAACTATCTATTTCTGCAGATATATTAATCTATATTCATCATTCAAATAGGAAAAGCCGTCAACAGGTGTTAGACATAACGTAAACAAAGCAGCGTGTGCTCACCGTTTTGAATATCAATCCTGCTAAACACTTTCTTTATTTTCATCCTACTTAAAGAAATGATGTGAAGTTGATATTTTAGTCACTGGCTTGACTTACTGATGCACAAACAGTATCGAACGATTTTGAGAGAAAGATTAACTCACCTGTCTCCTGCCTGTTTGGACCATACAAAACTTTGGGAGTTGAGTCGGCGCATTTCCAGAGAAAATAAAATTAACCCACATTGTTTCTTCAGAGACTCGGATGAAGGAACTAAAAAATACTTTTGTGTTCATTTGTACATCCGAACACCGAGCAACTGCCATGCTTCGCTCGTTTTCAGGCCATGATATCTCTCGAGGAAAAACTCAAATCTCAAAGCTATTTGTCAAGGAAAAAATAAAATCGCGCCTGCATGTTCGTACTTCCTGTTCCTAGCTTGTGTTCTCATGGTCGGGCCAAATTCTCTGGGCGGGCAAAGCAGAGAAAGGGGAGTAACCTTTCCCCCGTATGACGTTATACAGGGGAGATTCAAGATCAGCGGGTCTGAGATGCAGACGGATGCAGAGAAGAGAAAAATAGCCAAAGCTTGGTTTACACCAAATTGAAAATTCTAGAAACGAGGGGACGAAATACAGTCGAGGGGAACTCATATTAATGTTAAAAAACCTCATAAAATGAAAATTTCATGTCAGGGGACCTTTAAGCTTTTTTTAGGAGGCTTAATATTTCACTAAATATTTCTAAGCGACGACATTACAAAATGCTACTGAAGGAGGAACCATGTCTCTTTTAGGGACCAGAACATCATCTTTTGACTTGGACCAAAGCACACCTAAAAAACCCATTCAAAACATTGCAACCATAGCAACACCCTGGCAACCATCAAACGCTTGGATTTGCAGCCCTTTTTCTAATATTTTCTATTAATCAAGATTAGCTTTTCTTTTTCTTTTCACATTTTGTTTTTAATTATTTAGATTATTTGTTTACTACTTTTTTATTGCATATGTCCTTCAGGTCAAACTGAGGTGTCGCTTTTGCACTTGCTAACTTGTGATAGCACAGCCTGTGGGGTTATAGACACTGGAAATACTGTCTGGAGACAAAAACATGACGCCTTTTCTCCATAGAAGTGTCTCTTGGGTTTTATTTACAATCATTATGGGATGGTGGTTGAGATTATTACTTTCAATATTATTATTATTATTATCTTCACATCCAACTTTAGGTGAAGTGGGTAATTTTTGCACCATGAATGATGAGCGGTTTCAAAACAATGGAGTTGTAATACTCAAGGGATAGCGCCGCAGAATCATATAGCACTTAAACTGCTGGGGGAATCAACCTACGAATGACACATTAACGGCCATAAAAACATATTTTAATTTACACACTTCACCTTTAAAGAAAAACGACATGTTAGTAAACTCCCTTTTTTTTATCACTGGCGACTTTCTGTGCATCTCTTTCAAAGTGCAAGGTCATCTATAGTAAGGAAGCAGAAGGAAAACGAGAGAAATGGAGTTCTTTTGAAGCGATGGGTGAGTGAAATGTTTTTCACACTTCATGCTATCCATCAGATTAGCACTTCCCCAAAGATCCATTACTGGAGCGCTTTGACAATCTCCTGAGAAGCCCTGGAAAGAGAGATGGATAAAGGCAAAGCTACTGTTTATTTGACTGATGGAGCGCAGCCTGAACATGACACACATACCACCACATATGTATATATATATATATATATATATATATATATATATATATATATATATATATATATGTCTGTGTGTATCTGCTCAATCTGTGTTCCTTATTTTCAGTTAAAGGCACATTAAAGGGTTAGTTCACCCAAAAATAAAAATTAAGTCATTTATTACTCACCCCCATGCTGTACCAACCCCGTAAGACCTTCGTTCATCTTCGGAACACAAATAAAGATATTTTTGATTGAATCTGAGAGCTGGATCAGTCCTATATAGACTGCCTAAGGGACTGGCTCTTGACGGCCCATAAAGTCATTAAAGAAAAGGTTTAAATATTCCATGTGCCTACAGCGGCTCAATTATAAGTTTATCAAGCGACGAGACTACTGTTTGTGCGAAAAAAACATAAATAACGACTTTATTTCACTATTCCATTTCTTCCTTATGGACGCATGCGCGAGAACTGAGACGAGGACGTTCTCATTCGTCTACTTCTTGTTACCGGCTGCTCACCGCTTAGGAGTTTTACCGCCACCTACCGTATAAGATGATGTGCTGATATAGCTGGAAGCGCAAAACTTTCTGTTTACAAGCAGAGGAAGATGCGCGCTGTACATACGCTTTTCAATTTGCGTATTTTCCGCACTATAAGGTGCACTTAAAAGCCTTTAATCTTCTCAAAAACGACAGTGTTCCTTATAATCCGGAGCGCCTTATATATGGATCATCATTTTATAGGGTAGGTGGCGGTAAAACTCCTAAGCGGTGAGCAGCCGGTAACAAGAAGTAGACGAATGAGAACGTCCTCGTCTCAGTTCTCGCGCATGCGCCCATAAGGAAGTAATGGAATAGTGGAATAAAGCCGTTATTTATGTTTTTTTCACACAAAAAGTAGTCTCGTCGCTTGATAAACTTATAATTGAGCCGCTGTAGGCACATGGAATATTTAAACCTTTTCTTTAATGACTTTATGGGCTGTCAAGAGCCAGTCCCTTAGGAAGCCTATGGAAGAGTGATCCAGCTCTCAGATTCAATCAAAAATATCTTTATTTGTATTCCGAAGATGAACGAAGGTCTTACGGGGTTGGAACAGCATGGGGGTGAGTAATTAATGACTTAATTTTCATTTTTGGGTGAACTAACCCTTTAAGCGAAACACTGTTGATATTTGAAAACAACCCAAACAAACACACCCCTCTCTTCATTGCTCCGCCCCAAAAATTCATGATCACGAAATGCAAAATTCAAGAAAAATAAAGTGAAGGTGACGGGGTGAACAACAAGGAAGAACTAACAATGAACATACAGTACACTTGAGCAATTACAAGTTTGTTAGTCGCCAGCTTCAGTGAAGCCGTGTAAAACCAGAGCAGAAATAACTCAACCTCGGCGTCCATTTTCAGATCTTCAGGCTTTCTGTCTCTCCAGAACTGGAAAGCTTTTCTAATATTAACGTGAGTCCTAAAGCTCTTATCTGATCATAACCCTTCTTTTACCCACAAGGCTGTGTACTGAGCCCTCTACTCCTTACACACATGACTACTTCCATCCATTCTAGCAACAAAACCAATCTTGGTAGATATCATGATCTCCTAACGCCTCAGAAATAATCAAAAAGGCACAGCAAAGGCAGCATTTCCTTAGACTGCTCAGGAAACGCATAATTTAGATTGTAAATTGCTGGTGTCCTTTTACCACTCTACAATTGAAAGCATGTTAACGTACTATATTACTGTATAAGGACTTAAAACAAATGCACTTAATAAGAGTTTAATGTGAATACTAATGTCACTGTAGTGTCTCTAGAGAGTTTATGTATTGTTGTGGTTATATGGTTGTCTGGTTATAAGGTCATATGTATGTCTTTCAAATATCATTCAGCACTCCTAATTATTTTGTGGTATGGAAATACAATGACAATAAATGCTTTCAATTCAATTCCTCAGAGCTTTTCTCTTTATAATGTCTCTCAGCTATCTCTCTTTCTACAGTCTTTCTTCAAACCTCCCTCTTGCTCACTCTCCTCCTCCATAATGAGTGGACACGCCCCTAACTGCTGATAGGCTCACTCTCTCCTCCTTCATAAGTGGACACGCCCCTAACTGCTGATAGTCTCACTTTCTCTCCCTCACCATGAATACGACAATTCACCATGACGTCACAACAATAATAGACGTTCTTCCGGCTGGCAAAAGCCGAAGCGTCCCTATGGCAACATGGAGGGAGACACACCGCCGGCAGAAGCCTAATCTACATTTCAACAGTTGATTCAAAAACAGACGTGGTGGAAATTCGGACATAGTTAACATGATCATTAAAGCTTAGATTCTTTGATCTAGAGACGTGCACTCCCAACGCACTAGACCGCGGCGCGGGACTAGATCTGATGGCCGAGTGCGGGCGGCTCTGTGTGTGCGGATTGCAGGAGAATAAAACGATTCGCGGGACTCCCGCAAACTAGAAATATCTATGAATAAAACAAATAAAAACTAATACATTTGTATTCATCTGTTGCAGAAAAGCAACAAGAACAACTAAAACAAAATAGAAATGACTTACATGGCAGAGTTTCTTTTTATAACGTGACTGCAGCGATGAGCGATGTAGCCAATCACAGATATATGTGTTGATTTATTGAACGCATTGGCCAATCAGAAGCATTTACGATGAAGAAGCATTTACTCACCGCTCAAAAGAAAGTAACATAGAAAGTAATAGAAATAACTAAGTTAGTTGAGAACGTCAGTTATATAACGACCCACGTATTAAAATGGTTGGGTTTAAATCGGGCTCAGGCTCATAATTAGAAGACGACATGCACTTTTGACGACGTCCACTCGCTTTAACCTCCTCACCCACAGGTTCTGCTGGATAGATTTACTTTTTTCTGAAGGAAATCGATAAAAAAAACCTACACCTTTTGCTGTATATCTGGTGGCGCAACCCCAAACACAACATATTTTCGCCATAGATTCAACTTTGATCAACAACAATAACTCTTCAGTTAGTCAAAAGAAGCCGCTCGCGTTCTGCCACCCGGAAGTATCGCGGTGCTATTGTTTACAAACATTTTGAAATGCCCTATGGACACACTCCCTGCTGATTGGCTCACTCTCTCCTCCTCCATGAATAGACACGCCCCTAACTGCTGATAGGCTCACTCTCTCCTCCTCTATGAGTTGACACGCCCCTAACTGCTGATTGGCTCTCTCTCTCTCCTCCCCCATTATGAGTGGACACAGCCCCTACTGCTGATTGGCTACAAGTGTGTTGTGCTGCTCTTCTGATCCATTTTCAACAGCATTTCTCACAAATCACCTACTGCACCTTTAATTAGCTGGAATTTGAATTGGAATGACAGGACAAGGAATCTACTGAATTAATTCATTACATTTTCCATTTATATAACGCCTTTCTGGACACTCAATTACAATTCACTCAAACACTACACAGTCATGACAGAGGAGTTTTGCCGCAATTACTCATTAATTTAGACTAATTATGTCATTGTCAATAACACTGTCAACACAATTAACACAAGTCATCAAACAGATGTTGAATTCGCCTTGCAGCGCCACAAAATGCCCATTAAATTGGTTTTAGAAAACCTTTTTTTAACCTTTATATTAGAGCTGTTTCAAAAGATTTATATTTCAAATAAATGTTGCTCTGTTTGAACTTAATATTCAATAAAGCATGCTGAAAAAAAATGTATCATGGTTTCCACAAAAATATGAAGTAGCACAACTGTGTCTTTAAACCAGATCTAATCACTGAAAGGTAATCCATCTAATGTGGGGCAAACAGTGTCTGATGCCATCTACAGCCCTAGAGAGAGAGAGATTGAGAAAATATGTGTGTAAATGAGCTCATTTGAACGCATGCATGCATTATTAGTCATAAATGGTGAGTGTGCCAGGTGCCAGGTACAATTATAATCTAATGGCAGTGTCAGACGACACGTTTTTCCTCTGATCCAATCACATTCCTCTATCTCTTCTCTACCAATCATTTCAGCCCTCCACACATCTCAACAGAAACCAAGAGAGTTTCTTTCGATGGATGTCAGACCTTGGATTGGACAAGAAAAAAAAATCCATATGCTCCAAATAACTAAATAAAATAAGATTGAATGTTTACTCATTCGCTTGTTTTGCAATGCAGATGTACCAGTTTGCAATATCTAGCAGCAAAAGAAGTTGTTTTGTCACTGAAAAATAACTGAAGCGAATGATACCGGAAGCCAGCCAAATAGGCACGAAAAATAGATAAGTTACCGCTGGACCAAATCTCTCCGCAACCTGCCTGAGGTCACATATGATTCGGATGGTAAATGAAAACTCCCAAGTGAAAGCGTAAAAAAGGGAAGGTATGGCTGTCTACATCATGATGCAGAGCAACCAGGTACACTACAACAACAGCCGCGGGTAGCTCTAGCCGTTCGCGAGTAACAGCGAGTGAATGCGGCGTTCAAGTCATCTCGTATAGATCGTAATTACGAGTTGAACGCACTTGAACGCCACCACAATGTCGTAAGTGGGGAGCTCGGGATTTTCTTTAAGCCCCGATTTGTACGAGTTGGGGGCGTGTCAGTGAGAAACATGGGGGAAAATCAATGGATCCAAAGTAGTTGACGGTAAATTTTAATTGAATTTCAATGTTTACTCATTGACATCGTAAGGCTTTTTAATTTATAAAGCAAGCTCTCTGTATGACGAAAATATGATATCATTGTAATATAAAATTATACCTTGTAATAAATTAAAAAAATATATACATTGTAATATAAAAGAAAAACACACCTGATGCGCATTCTTAGTTCTTCATTTTCTATTAACAGAGTTAACAAACCTTGCTGTATTTTCGTGTCATTCATTAAAAGAATTTACACCAGCATTTTGCTCCGACGAAACTGACTTGAACGCACCTCACGTTGTAAACATGACTTCCCACCTCGTAGGCTACGTACGAACTTCCCAGGAGGACTTGAACGCACCAAACAAAAATCAGCAGACGTTGCTGCTATGCTTAGGAGTGTAGTTTATTTTCATAAGATTGTGGATAAAACATATTTTTCTTTAAACAAGGTTGATTTAATACACACTTATAGCTTCAACAGGAGCAAAAACCTTAGTTTCTCAACCTCACAGCTCGTGGTCAGTCTACAGCGGATGGTTTAGACATTAGGGCTGATAATCTAAATCCTTATCGAGAAATACTGTTGACCGGAAGTTCTGTATCCCATTCTCCTATGGATTAAACGAGTGATCGATTTCAGACACAGCTTCTGTCTGAACTGTTCACCCATCAATGTGCACATGCAAAGAAGAGCATCAGTCTCGCTGCTAAAGCAGATGTACCGGAGTAAATAATTCAGTTCATAATTAGATGAGAGTATAGCTTGATCTTCCACAGGGATGAATGTGACGGTGGATCCTTGAGTTTCCTTGAGACTGAGCTTTGGGACCGTTTTTTTTTTTTTTTTTGCCTACGGGGTTTTTGTTTCTTTCAGCCAATAGGCTTCAGAATATCTGACTTGATGAGTAATATTGAGCCCGTTCTTATCCTTCGGCATCATATAGGTGACATTTCGTCTAAATACTACGCACATGGCACCCTTTAGCATCAATATAACACGCAGACCCTACCCCAGACCTAAACCTACCCATAACAGTGCGTGTTATATTGATGCTCAAGGGTGCCATGCGTGTAGTACTTCGACGAAACGTCATTTGGCGTCACCTATATGCCGCTAAAGGATGAGAATGTGTGGTAATATCCAATATGATACTTTACATATGCACAAAATCCACACATTTACCATTTTAAAGAGAGGAAATAAGCCTCAATGTAGAGATAATTAAATTTTATAACAATAACTATATAATCATGGTTTTAATGTATAATTAGTAACAGACACGTGTTGACTACGTGACAATGATTTTATTGAACTGCAAATTCATATGTATAAACACGTGTTTATTAATATACATAGGGGGGCTATCAATTTTTACATATATATAGTCTCACAATTCAATGTTATTTTCTGAGATTAAATTTTCATGAATTGCAATTCAATAAATTAATTGTTGCATCACTTTATTTAAATGGTACACTGTGAAGAAAAATGATCAATAAGTTTACATTGCTTTAAAGATGCCATCTTGCACATAAAATCAAATCATGATCCATAACAGATGGGGGCAGTATACCTCCAGAAAGTGAGTTGTGCCGCGGCCGCGCGCACTCTCACGTCTTCAAGTTCAAACAACACAAAGGAGCGCTGTTTTGCTCTCTTTCTCGCACATATTATTTAAATCATTTGACACGATAGTAAAAGGTTGGAAGACCGTAGTTTCACGTGGAGCATTTGGAGATTTTTAGAGATCAGAGACTCAATGAACAACATATCAACACTAAATGATGAAGACCGCCTCATTGACGCCTGTCTCAAAAACAAGCTGGTGCATTTCGACGATATGGGAAAATAAAAGCCTGGGGTATTATTTTAAGTTTACGGTGTTCGTTTTGTACATATTACACTTTTATTGTTAGTTTGAATTAATTTGACAGACAGCATTCGCTGATGTTGATCCATTCAGAGCTGCCAACTCGCACAAATTCACCATGAGACACTTAGCAAGCAGGTTAGTTAAGCTCTCAGATTCTGTCAATTTTATTACGCAATTCAAACAATAAATACCGTTTGTACATGTTACACGACAGATCGCTAGCGCACGTGAACCGATCATCTCTACTAGCTAATGGAAAAAGAACATGAACACTGTTGAAAGATACAGTATGGTACAACTTACCAAAATGTATTATTCCTCATGCATAATGTCGACCAATCATTTTTGAACTCTTCGCTGGCTGAACTGAAATGCAGCAGTGGACCGTATTTCCACACGACTGACGTCAGGTTCAAGTACACACACAAGACGGCGCGACTTACTCGTACTGCAGTTTAGCTGGTGGTGGTAATGTTGCCCGCCCGCATACCGCCTCCCATGGCCGAAACTGGTATTACAACACCTGCCGGCCGGGGCTAGTAATTTAGCATGCTAATTTAGGTTTATATCTCGGCAGCACTATAACTTGTCAGTTTTTTAATGACATCATTGCACTTATTTCTTCTCATTCTTTTGATGCGTGTAGCTCATTTTTTGGATATTTTTACCTCAATTATTCCATATGGCACCTCAATCAAAATAAGTTCAGCAACTTTCAACTTTTTTTAAAGTCAGTTTAATGTAATTTAAGTTGAAATGACAAACACCCAAGTTGTTTTTAACAGTGTAGGTTCTATATGTGAATAAACCATCTTGATAGCAGCTCTCTGAATATCCCACAGAACATTTGTGCTGAAGAGTCAATATATCAGCATGTTTCTGTCACTGCTGATTATACAGTCGCATTGATGGTTTTTCCTGTTGGTTGACCTCAGGGTGACTCTCTGACCTGAGCGGTGGCCTCAGCGCTAATACTCTGTGACTGTGTTCACACGTCTAAAGCCCAGCGTTCGTGGCACTGGCTGCTGAGTGTTCGGAGTGGCAGGGGTGTGATTTGTTTGTCACAGGTGTTGTTTTAATCTCTGTTTCCTGTCACTGCCTTGCTTTTTCTTTTATTGGCTGTGCTGTTTTTATGCATTAGCTACAGTATCTCTCACACACTATTAAACTAGTTTAATATACTAAATGTTATTTATTGGCATTGATGGTGTTACTTTTAAAGGTACAGCAATTCTTTTATAAACTATTTTTGTTCTACTGGTTGAAATTCTCTTCACATCCTGATAGCAAACAATAATAGAAGTGCATATGTACAAATATATTCTGTGGAAGTCTCAGGACCAAGCAATGTTCAGTCCGAATGGATGAAATGATAGGATGTTCGACTGCCTGCCTGTCAACATATATATTTCAATACCTCCGTGCATCTGCTCTCAGACATCAGTGTGTTTTATGCTATGCAGAGTTGTACACAGATGTCAGTCACTGAGTGCCACAAACAAACAGCAGAAACCTTTTACAGTTCCTCCTGAGGCAAAACAATGAGCTTATGCCGTGTTCATGCCATGTCATAACCGTAATTACGAGAGAAGGAAACCTGTGGTGTTCTACCCGGAGCTGTTCACATCCTCAGACTTTTTGCATTTCTATATCAACACGCCAAATTGAATCTGCAACAGACAGGTGGTACGTGCTTTGAGACATGAAGTAATTTAACGGCGTCTCGTGACGCTTTGCAGACTCTGCTGTCTGTGTGGTCATGTGTTATGAAGGAGGCGTGGCTTCGGAGACGCTATGAAGGGAGCGTTTGTTTTGACATAGACATATACACTACACTCTCAGAAAAAAGGTAGGCCTACGAAAGCTGTCACTGGGGCTGTACCTTTTCAAAAGGTACACTTTTGTCCATTTTAAGTACTAATTTGTACGTTTTATGTGCTAATATATACATTTTATGTGCTAATATGTACATTTTTGGTGCTAATATGCACATTTCAGGTGCTAATATGTACATTTTAAGTGTTGATATGTACATTTTAGGTGCTAATATGTGCTAATATGTACATTTTTGGTGCTAATATGCACATTTCAGGTGCTAATATGTACATTTTAAGTGTTGATATGTACATTTTAGGTGCTAATATGTGCTAATATGTACATTTCAGGTACTAATATGTAGTGTTGATATGTTCATTTTAGGTGCTAATATGTACAATTAAGGTACCAATATGCACCCTTAAGGTACAAAAGTGTACCTTTTGAAAAGGTACAGCCCCAGTGACAGCTTTTGTACCTTTTTTTCTGAGAGTGTAAACGTCACCTTGGGGATCTAAGCATGCGTCAAAACCGTCGCCATCTTGAAACAGGGGTCTTGTCATAGGAAGTAGCTAGGTAACGCTGCTATCTCTGCCTGTACTGTGAATTAATTGATGGTGGCGGACTTTTGTGCTGTGTATGATGTTCACACGAATGAAATCTGAAATAGGAAGAATGTTTTTTTTTGTTTTTGTTTTTTCAGGAATCAACAGACTGATCTCATGAAATGGCGTGTGTATGACACGCCAATTCGTATTTCCATTTTTGGCGTGCCATCAACACGCATAATCGCTTTTCAGTGTGTTTATGAACGCCGTTGACTTAACGTTACATTACTGTATATATAAATATATGACCTACCCCGTCCCTTAACCTACCCGTCACTGGGGTTAATAGCATTAATGAGTCTTCCATTACCATCGTAGGAAAAAAATATCACTCCTCAGATGTAGATCTACATTTTGCTTCGTTTCGCTCGGACATTTAACGGCGTGTACATACACGCGGAATCACTCTGACATTAATTATCGATAATTTTGACCCACAATGTTGGCTATTGCCACAAATACACCGTTGCGACTTGTGACTGGTTTTGTGACCCAGGGTCACATATATCAAGACCAGGAACACACACACACTTCTAACATCCTTGACACGCCCAAAAATAAATCTCAAGAGACAACCAGCCCTGGGCGACTTCACACTCACCTTCTTTCTTCTTCTCAGATCACATCTGCTCCAAAATGTTGTGACACACACCATGTACCAACACATGCTCAGATCAGTCTGGATAAACCTAGAAACACACACATTTGCCCACTTATATTAGCAAATACCTCAAATCACAAATCATCCAAATATTTCAATGCCACATATTTTAACACAATTTTAATTTGATGAAAACATGTTCATTTGTTTCAACAAAAGCATGTGTGTTTTGTCAACTGTGATCTTTAAGCTTTGGTAATGAGTTGGGAGACAAATAAAACATTTCTAAAAATGCATAACTAAATAGCAGTTTTGAAAATCTATGATTAATTAAAATTCAATGGATGTTTCCATCAGGGTCAAATTCCACAGGGCAATGCAAGCGAAGTGCGTCTCAATGCAGAACATTGTGATGAGAGGATAGAAATGAATCTTTTCAGGGCATTTCTATGTAATGGGTTTTTAATAACATGCTGAAATGCATAAAAGGTTTTTCAAATGTAGTTTTTGTGTTAGAAAGATATAAAAAGCAACCACATCTTCAGATTAAACAAAAACCCGGCATGTTTACGTTAAAACTGTAATCTCCATATATCTAATTTAGGCTATATCTTTAAAGAAATCTTTAAATTCTACAGCAAAAATGATTGATATTTGAGTTGTGAAGGTCTATAAATTGTCCTTTTTTAGCTGAAACTACATTTATGTGAATCTTGTACTGGTTTGAAACGGACTAAATTATTTCCATGCATATCACAGTATTCTCTCTCTCTCATTCTCCATTTACACGATATAGGTAGAGTGAGAGAGCCGAATCCTTCGGGATGTCATGGAAGATGGGACACAGATGGGATGTTTGTCATGACGCCTGAAAGAAACACATCAAAGATGCATCCCATAAACCCACAGGAGAGCGAAGACGACACTTTTCTTCATGACATGCATAATTCACAAACTATCACACAATCCAGCCTGTGAAAGGCATAATGCTAATTGACTAACTCCAAGAACGATAATTGATCTTATATGCCACAATTTCTGCACTGTCAATCAAATCCTCCACACGTAATTCTGTATTTTTTTTCTCCGAATTGCACAATTATTTACCATAATCCACTTTTTCCCTTGGGAATGTTATATAAACTGTGATATAAATTGTATTCAGGACTACTGTAAAACTGCAAAGTAAAATTCCACCGCTGCTGAGAAACTAGTTCCTGTAAATGTAATGTGATCATTGAGACGCTCGATTTCTAACATTATTCTCTCAACACATTTACATCGATAATCTGGTGTTATAATTTATTTGCTTTTGGTGTACTGTGAAGTGGTAAAACTATCTTTAATAGAGAGACTAAGTAACTCCCCTTCCGGTCGACCACCATGGGACCTTATTGCGGAAAAATATTGAATTTTGAATAACTTGTCTGAATTGTGCCTTGAACTACACATGTGATGTTTGTCAATTTAAAAGATACATTTTAAAGTCAAGAAAGTCGCAGTTTGATGTAAAACTGTTGAGGTTTAAAGACTGTGAAAATACGTAATTATAAAATCTACAAACCCCAAAGGCGCACATTTTCTCTCAATGAATGCAGCTAACTTAACTGAAGCTAACTTTACTGAAGTTAACTCTACTGAAGCTAACTTTACTGAAGCTAACTCTACTGAAGAAGCTAACTTTGCTGAAGCTAACTTTGCTGAAGCTAACTTTACTGAAGCTGACTCTACTGAAGTTAACTCTACTGAAGCTAACTCTACTGAAGCTAACTACTGAAGCTTACTCTACTAAAGCTAACTCTACTGAAGCTAACTACTGAAGCTTACTCTACTAAAGCTAACTCTACTGAAGCTAACTACTGAAGCTTACTCTACTAAAGCTAACTCTACTGAAGCTAACTACTGAAGCTAACTCTACTGATGCTAACTCTACTGAAGCTAACTACTGAAGCTTACTCTACTGAAGCTAACTCTACTGAAGCTAACTTTATTGAAGCTAACTCTACTGAACCTAACTTTACTGAAGCTTACTCTACTGAAGCTAACTCTACTGAAGCTAACTCTACTGAAGCTAACTCTACTGAAGTTAACTCTACTGAAGCTAACTACTGAAGCTTACTCTACTGAAGCTAACTCTACTGAAGCTAACTTTATTGAAGCTAACTCTACTGAAGCTAACTTTACTGAAGCTTACTCTACTGAAGCTAACTCTACTGAAGCTAACTTTATTGAAGCTAACTCTACTGAAGCTAACTACTGAAGCTAACTCTACTGAAGCTAACTCTACTGAAGCTATAACTACTGAAGCTAACTTTACTGAAGCTAACTCTACTGAATCTAACTACTGAAGCTAACTCTACTGATGCTAACTCTATTGAAGCTAACTTTACTGAAGCTAATGTCTGACATTGTTTCCATAGTCTTGTGTTATAATCGTAACGTTATGCTGTCATATACCTGAGTGTTTTGTGCCAGACTGCACACACACAAGCAGCAGATCTCGCTCGTTTCACTTCCCGGGAGACGTAGTTCATCAGGCGATTTTCACATAAAACTAAATGTTACTCTTCTGTTTCATGACAAACTGCGACAACTTTCTTGACTCTCAGAATTATCTTTTAAATTGACAAACATCATATGTGTAATTCAGGGCACAGTTCAGACAAAATAAAAACATACGTTATCTCTCGCCATTGACTACCATATTACGTATTATCATATATTATGTTCCAAACCTGTTTTACAGTTGATGGACCCCATTGACTTTCATATTCCTCCACATTAAACGGAGACCAGACCATTCTTCAAAATATCTATAACCAGCTAACAGGGGTGTTTAGACTTTTCACATCTGCAGACGACCTCAAAGCCAAAAGACATTACCTAAAAGCCACAAAACCACAATTTTGGGGTCTTAAAAAATTGACTCTGATTTTGTTTTTTGGCTTTACATCAAGCAGCATTTATTGATCTCATCCCTCTCTCTCTCTCTCTCGTGCGGGTGGGGCTGGTGAACGGGGTCGTGATACGGTCACTGCGCATCATCAGACTCGGAGCTGCAGAATATGCCAGTGTACATTAGTGTAGGGCTGAACGGAGAGAGAAAGAGAGAGAAGTGCAGTATAAAAGAAACAGAAGGATGAGAAACTCAGGCAGACTTCAGCGAACATCAGCGCACTTACATGAACCCGGCTCAGAATGAGCTCTGCAAAATGGCATTCATCAAATATGGATGTGCTTTACGTGCGGATCTTCTGGTCGGTCTCGCTGCTTGCATTCCTGTAAAGTTCAAGGAACAGCCATCCGTCACTTCAAATGATTTTCAAGTTAAATTTAATTTAAAAGAGAAACGAATCCTGTTTCCTTTCTAAATGCACATTCCTGGTTGTACTTCATTTGTCGTCAGTGCACTATGCCAAAAATAATCACTTAATCACAATAATTCACTTGCTTTTTGACTGCATTCTGGTTGTGAAGCGCCACTCGTCAGGGTCAAATCACTTCAGGATGGATATAATCAAGTCGTGTCCTACACTTTTTTTCACTCAGAAACAGAAATACATTAAGGACGTGTAGTGGGTTCTTACCTGACAGGATCAATGATCAATACTTCCCGACATCAAAGCGCATGTCCTGTGTTTGTCTGGGGGTTTTCACATGTAATTGTTTGCTTGCTTCAGCATATATCATCATGTGGGTTTTATGAAATAAATAATGGGTAAAGTTATGAAAATAGAAAGTGGAAACACTTTACAACACATTAGTCAACACACTATAGACAGTGTTATTTTAGTATCATTGGGATACTAGTATAGGTTTTTTTTTTCATAATTAGTATTATTCTAAATTTAATTCTATTAAAGCTAGTGTGCGTTTGTCATTTTTATAAGTTTATGTTTTTTTTAAAATATTTTATACAATTTCTGGTAACGTTTATTTTATTTCAAGTAATGCAAAAAACGTTTTATGGTTTTAGTTTCAGTAAAAGACAGGGTTATTTTAGTTGTTTATTTTTTGAGCGTTTATTAATCTAGGTTTCAATTTGCTAACATATGTAAATGAGCATAATTTCAACGTATTGTTGCATTAACTAATGTTAAGATATAAAGCGGCCTTATATTGGGAAGTATTACTAATTCAATTGAGTGTACGGTCCATTTGTGTCAGATCCTCAGGCACATTTGGCCTTTACAGTGTTTGTTTTCATTGGCGTTCGAGCGCTCTGCGCTGGTGTTTTAGCTCCGCCCACATGTGAATTGCGCATCCTGATTGGTCTGCACAGCGCCCAATAGTAATGCACAACAACTGGCAATAGAAACCCATGGTCTCATTTACATGAAAGCTTTGAGCGGCTTCATCAGCCAACATTCGTCTCACTCTCATCTGTAATCTTCACTTCCTCCGTGATCCCTCCTTTAATCTCTCTCTCTCTCTCTCTCTCTCTCTCTCTCTCTCTCTCTCTCTCTCTCTTTCTCTCTCTCTCTCTCTCTCTCTCTCTCTCTCTCTCTCTCAGTTCTGTGACTAGAGGCTCGTTCTCTCCGCTGTCCCTCCGCACACAACATAACTGATCCCAGATCAGAGATAAAGCGCACAAAGATCCCGACCCTGCGCTCTGCCCTGAGCTCGTGTGCTCGGCTACATCATGACCTTATGAAAGCAAAGTGAGCTGTCTCTCTCTCTTCCAGAGATGTGACACAGTTTGAGGGCAGTTAAAGATGGAGTTAGGATCAGTTTCTATTGACATTTAGTCAGAACGAGCCCTCACTCTGCCTTCGGGCTCACAGCGGCCCAGAAACCCCTGCAGTTCACAAGTTCACATCACGACGAGTGTACGAGCAGGATTAGCCTATCTCTTTTTCATTTTTACACACACAGACACAGTTGTGTTTTCATGTTTTATGGGGACTTTCCACAGATATAAACTGTATATTCTCTACCCTCACACTACATTTTTACATTTTCAAAAAACTTTATTTCGTACACTGTAAAAAATGATCGTGATTTTAACAGTAAAAGACTTTAAAAAATGCTACAGTGGAAAAACTGTTAGCTGGTTAACAGAAAGTTTCCTTACTATGGTAAATAACTGTGATATATATAATGGTACATTTAATGTAATTTTACTGTAAAATACTGTTAAATTTACAGTTTTGGGAAGTGAAAAAGAAGTCATTGTATAATTTACAGTGAAAAAAATGTAAATTGACTTCCCCACTATTTAATGGATTTTAACTGTTTATTCATAATTTTCTTAGTTTTTTTTTCTTATCAGTTATGTTCATTAGGGTTTTATGTTACATTTAACATTGTTAAATTAATTCTTATTTCATTTTTTAAATTTCAACATGTTACCATGATAGTGTTTAATGTTTGTGTGAATAACACTGTGCAGCTTCTATATAGTAGTATGAACTTTCTTGTGGAAGAGCTGATAATGATGAGCTTTAATTGATCATTTAAAGGCTTAGTTCACCCAAAAATGAAAATTAAGTCATGAATTACTCACCCCCATGCTGTACCAACCCCGTAAGACCTTCGTTCGTCTTCGGAACACAAATGAAGATATTTTTGATTAAATTTGAGAGCTGTATAACTACCACATTGGCTCCTAAAGGACTGCCTCTTGACGGCCCAGAAAGTCAATGAAGAAAATGTTTAAATATCCCAAGTGACTACCGTGGCTCAACTATATGTTTATCAAGCGACGCGAATACTTTTTGTGCGAAAAAACAAACAAAAATAACGAGTTTATTCGACTATTTCTTTTCTTCCTTGTAGGCCAGAACGAGACTTCCTTAGATTTCCACGACGCATGCGCGAGATTTGCGATCTGCTCACATCAGCTTACACTACTTCAGATCGCAATTCTCGCGCATGCGTTGTGGAAATCTAAGGAAGTCTCGTTCTGGCCTACAAGGAAGAAAAGAAATAGTCGAATAAACTCGTTATTTTTGTTTGTTTTTTCGCACAAAAAGTATTCGCGTCGCTTGATAAACATATAGTTGAGCCACGGTAGTCACTTGGGATATTTAAACATTTTCTTCATTGACTTTCTGGGCCGTCAAGAGGCAGTCCTTTAGGAGCCAATGTGGTAGTTATACAGCTCTCAAATTTAATCAAAAATATCTTTATTTGTGTTCCGAAGACGAACGAAGGTCTTACGGGGTTGGTACAGCATGGGGGTGAGTAATTAATGACTTAATTTTCATTTTTGGGTGAACTAACCCTTTAACTCTCATCACTGCTGTGATTGATGGGTGTCGGTGTATTGCAATTGAACAAAACAGATATTAATACTTCAAAATGTCAGTAAATTAACATTATATCAAATAATGAATTATGGTTTATTGCTGTAAAATTAAATACGGTCAAAGTCTGTAAAACCTAAAATGTTGCTACCGTACTTTTAACAGGAAAACTGGTAACCAACCACAGCTGCCGGAGTTTTCCCATAAATTTAACAGACTTTTTTTTACAGTGTATGATTTATAAGATGTTTGCCACACTCACACAGACGCTCTCACTCCCACTAGCACACCCATGTTCAACACACACACACACACACACACACACACACACACACACACACACACACACACACACACACACACACAAACACTTTCTCTCTCACACACACAGACACACACTCTCACACAAACACACACATACTCTCACACACACAAGCACACAGTTTGTATAACTATCTGATTTAGTAAGCAGTAACGAGATAAGCAAGGCTCTACTTTGAAATTTGACATATAAAGCAACAATTACTATTTAGACAATGATATCATTGATATTTTAATTAGACAAGTTCCAGTTTCCTCTGATCAAAAGCGTTGATCACAGCAGAGCTATGATCCATATTTTCTGCAAACACAGAGAGTTGCATCGGATGAAATCCATAATAAAGATCGATCTCTGCATGCAGTCACAGGACAAAGGGAAGAGCAAATGTATTTTGGCAGATTTATATTTGTTTCCAGCCGCTGTCAGGCTGCTCAACAAGACTTTCTTCACATGTGCACTTTGTATCTATGGAATTCTGGTGTCAAAGGCCAAACTCAATGACTTAATGAACTTCACCCTTTTTAACTTGCCTATTAAATGCACACATCCTACAGAAATGCATGTCCAGGTCAATGTTTTTAGCAGATGATGGGAGCTGACGTGACATTTCAGATAGCGTCAATAGTATTGCTTCTGTAATTATTACAGGGCTAAACATATTTTCCTTTTTTTATATTAACTGAGATTGGAATATTTGTGCTACATTTAACATTAATTGGTCACACTGACTGACTGCAGGTGCATTTTAAAATATGATTAAAATGGTGAAAAACAATTGATTAAGCGGTTGCAGCACACCAATGTTTTACCTAAAAAGGCAAAATAACCAAATGTTAACCTAAAAATGTCGATGTTTGTCAACTAAACTTAACAAATGATGTGAATGTAAACTGAATTCAGCTCGTGCACTTGCGTTTGATTGACAGGAGAAACAACAAGGAAACAGCCGCAGAAACGTCAACAAACTCGACGGCCATGAGGTGAGTTTTTGCTCGATGCTAAATCCATACATACATATTTATATCTAACGTTATGGCTAAATCGGTCGCACATTCTTAGAATTAAAGCGAAGATGTGTCAGTATTAAAATGTGATTTAATTATCAATGGAAAATGTTCATGTAATATTGTGTAGATGTTGTGATATTAATAACCTATAATATATAATAATAACTTCATACATTTGTTTATTTTTAGTGCTAGTCGAAAGGATGATTCCGGATCGCTGGTTCGACTGATTCGTTCATTTCCGCCGGAGAGCGACATGTTTCACGCCGCCGCGTGCGGAGCGCGTGAATGGTTGAGTTTGACTCTGACGAGAGCGCGCAAACCATTGCACACTGACAAACACGTGCGTGCTTTATACTTATTCAAAACGTGTTGTTGTTAATTCAGCTCTAACCGCTTAACATTAAATATTTATCCAGTACTTACATGAATGTTTCTCACAGATAATGGCCAGTGGTGATGACGTCAGCTGGGTGCTTTTTGTCTCCCGTCCCTCTTTTTCTGGCTAATTTGATCTTTCTTTACAGTGGTATATTTAATTTTACTGCCTCCAGAAATACATTAAAGGACCCAAAAAGTATCTTGTACAAAATTAAAATATTTATCGTTATCTTTATCACATTGATGTGAATAGGCCTTAATAATAATATTGATAATAAATTATAATATAATGCAAATACTATTTTAGATATCCACAATAGCCCTGTTCATAATAAAATATCTAACCCAACGTGTGCATGCGTGAGTGCATTATGCACATGTTTTTCTATCAGGTTGGGGACTTGAACTCAGGACTGAACGTCACTGTAGGGACCTAAATTGAGGTACCCATGGGAACAAAAGCATATAAATCATACAGAATAATAAAAAAAAGTAAAAATGCATAAAGTTGTGTGTGATGTGAAGGTTAATGGGTGGGTTAGTGTAAGGGGACAGAATATACATTTTGGACAGTATAAAAACCATCACACCTATAGCCTATGTTGAGTCCCAGCGACTGTGTGTGTGTGTGTGTGTGTGTGTGTGTGTGTTTCAGGGTCTCACCGTGCTTCACATCGCAGCTCTACATGGACACCTGGCCTGTATGGAGCTGCTGCTGGAGGCTGGCGATTGTGTGGATGTGGATGCGAGTTGTCCTCAGGGACGCAGACCCCTACATATGGTGCTGACAACTCAGAGCCGACAAAACTCTCACGCCTGCCTCCTTTACCTGCTGGAACATGGAGCCCAGATCAATGTGTACGAACCACCTCTGTTTTACAAATGTAACTCTCTTAGATTCATATTTAATAATGAACATAAGCCAAACAAACAAATAATGGCAATAAATGAATGTTAAAAGTTTTTTATCAGTTTATACGTGTACTACTTTGGATATATTTTGGAGTGAAACTTGATATTCAACAATTTTGGCGTGGAGCAACTTACCTATATTTTGATGAAAGATTACAAACTAAGTCTTGTTGGTTGATTGGTTGGTTGATTGGTCGGTCAATTGGTTGATAGACCGGTTGGTTGGTTGGTCGGTCGGTCAGTCAATTGCTTGATTGATTGGTCGGTTGATTGATTGATCGGTCAGTCGATTGGTTGATTGATCGGTCAGTCGATTGGTTGATTGATTGGTCGAACGATTGGTTGATTGATTAGTTGGTCGGTCAATAGGTTGATTGAATAATTGGTTGGTTGGTCAGTCGATTAGTTAATTTATTTATTGATTGGTTGGTCAGTCGGTCGATTAATTGATTGGTCAGTTGCTCAGTCGGTTGATTGGTTAGGTCGGTCGATTGGTTGATTGATCGGTCGGTCAGTCGATTGTATGATTGATTGGTCAGTCGATTGGTTGATTGATTGGTTGGCCGGTCAATTGGTTGATCGGTCGGTCAGTCGATTGGTTGATTGATTGGTCGGTCAGTCGATTCTATGATTGATTGGTCAGTCAATTGGTTGATTGATTGGTCGGTCAATTGGTTGATCGGTCGGTCAGTCGATTGTATGATTGATTGGTCGTCGATTGGTTGGTCAGTCAATTGGTTGATCGGTCGGTCAGTCGATTGATTGATTGGTCGTCGATTGGTTGATTGGTCGTTCAGTCGATCAGTTGATTGATTGGTCGTTCAGTCGATTGGTTGATTGATTGGTCAGTCGGTCTGTCAGTTGATTGATTGGTTGCTTGGTCAGTCGATCGGTTGATTGTGAACCAATATTGGTTCTTCACTGCAAAACCAGCCTTTTGGAAGCTTTATTCTCAAGAGTTTACCGACATATACAGGCTACATTGTCAGCATGATTAGCTGTCATGACGTCAGAAGCATTTCATTGTGTCACAGCTGCCTCAGTCTTGTTGTATCCACAGGTCAACAGATGAAGGATTGACACCACTGCATTTGGCCGCTGCAGAGGGTCTGATGGATTGCACAGAGACGCTGGTAAGAAATGGAGCCGACACCCACGCTCGGGACAAGAGGGGTCACACTGCCCTTGACCTCGCTCGCATCTGGGGCCACAGGCTCATTGCCAGGTATCAGGTGCTAGTGACAATTACTGCATGTGATAGTGAATCCTGTAGATTAAATGACACTGCACACGTGCAAAAACTGATGGCATATACTGTAAAAAAATGATATGATCAATAAATCATGGCAATGTTTTTACATCACTATATGAGATACTAATAATTTAAGTTGAAATTACTCATTAAGCCAATTTCATTATACTTAAAAATGTAAGGCAGCAACTGAAATACAGAGTTCTGAAAACCTGCTTGTAATTTTATCGGCTGCGTCTGAAATCCCACACTCTCTGGAGTAGGTACTTATTTTGAATTAGTACCGCTAAATACTATGTTCTAGATAGTATGAATGTGTGTAGAATGAATGTAATCTTGACATACCTTTGCCATGTTGTCATTATCATGTGACCTACCAGCATCATTTGCGTTGCTTCACTGTCATTCACAAATCCTCTCCTGTGGCCTCATGGGACAGTAAAGTGCCCATCAAACATACACTTCAGAATCTCACTGAAAGCTGTAGGACATCTGGGTAGGCTACTTGTTGCCTACTCTTTTATGAGGACTGTGACTTCAGACACACTTCTCTGTTTTTCACCTACTATATAGTAGGGAAGTATGTGATTTCTGATGCAGCCACAGTTCTCAATTGGTTGTTTTAAATTTGAAACAGGTGAAATTTTTTCACAGTGTGAAACATGAACATAAATGTGTTTGCACAACAGGTTTCTCAAAGATGCCATGTGGCGAAAAGACAAACAGCAGGAGATGGGGAACACCAAACAGCAACGTGACCTCAGGCAATTCCAGTGTTTCAATGTGCTGGATCTGCCTCGACTGGGTCGGGCCCTAAAAACCAAAGACTCGCCCTGGACTGAGGTGGCCATGCACCTCGCCGAGGAGTTGAAGCCCGGACACTATTAGACCCTCATCTGCAGAGACCGTTGTCATATTTTCAGTAAGTGCCAGAGGAATAGAAAGTTGCGCGAAGTAGAGATACTTCTGTTCTGAATGGAATACTAGTGTACTTCATACTGTTTATTAAAGTAACTCTATTATGCTTTTTTAAATATTATTTCATTCTCCTTACATGTTTAATATTTCTGTTTGGGAAGGTCTGCAAGGTTTAAAAGATGTTAAGTTATAGTCTTTTATTAATAGAAAGAATCGATTCTGAACTGTTGAAAGTAATTCCAGTCTACAAACGCAACAACTCATTTGCATAAAGCCAGTCTATTGGCTGCTTTAATTCAGCATGATCCAGTTCTCAGAAATATAAATAGATGTCTGTACAAATAATGTAAGAAAATGTTGAAAAATACAGTGGATTTTAAAGCACGGCATTGTGGGACGCAGTATCATGCAGTGCATACTTCATAATAAGAAACAGCAAACACAAACCATAGTGAATCTTTAATACCTGCAGTGAAATTAATACAGATTAATTAAACTTGTTTCTACCAGTTTAGACCATTAAGAAATTCTGCATCTTTAATGAGATTTTCATTTTTGATTATTTATGAAATATTCTTGATTATTCTCACGAGATTGTCATTAGTCATTTTTGTTTTACCAGTAAGTGTTTTTTTATTTTAAAAAGAATTAAGAGAGGATACAAATTGGGGGTGTACACCGGTATTCTTGATAACCGTGGTATTAAAAAATATATACACATCATTATCGCCCTCCCTGACCATCTGAGGGCACCTCAAACTATAAACTAAAACTTTTCTTTTTAGGAGAACTTTTGACTTTTAACTTCTATCTATGTCTATTTTTGCAATGCTTTTATGATCTTAAACTGTATCACTTTGAGATTTGCTCTAAATGCAAGGTGCATTACAAATAAAATGTATTATTATTATCGTGTTAATTAGGGGTGTCGCAATATATAGATATTGACATAAATATATATATCATTATCGTTAATTCTTTTGGTCACGATAACCGTAGTGAAAAATCATGACAGCCCTTATACAAATAGCCAAATATCACTATTTACACTAATGTTGTACACTAAGATTGCATTATTCATTAAGGACACATTAAATTAATCAAAAGTGCTAAATGTAAACAACTGCCGTTAACAAACTTAATTTTCAAAGAATCCTGAAATCTTAACGGTTTCCGCAAAAATATGAAGCAGCACGATTGATAATAATCAGAAATGTTTCTAGGGCATCAAATCATCATATTAGAGTGATTTCTGAATGATCATGTGACTCTGAAGACTGACCACAGAAATAAACTACATGTTAAAATACATTCAAATAGAAAAGAGTTCATTTAAATTGTAATACTATTTAACAATAGCACTATTTTTGATAAAATAAATGCAGCCTCGGTGAGCAGAAGAGACTTTAAAAAAAATCTCACTGCCCCAATCGTTTTGAACGGTAGTGTATATCAAAATTGCAGTGCAGAAAGGGGAACTGACTTGGGAAAGACAGGACTCGACACATGGACATTAAAGTACGGACAAAAATACTTAAAAGGTTCTGTGAGACTCAATGACACACTTTCCCAAAACGCAAACCTGAGCAGAGGCTAAAGTCTGTTGACTGCAAACATACACACTCAAACCAACACTGACCATCATCAAGGTGTGAAAAGGTGAACAGAAAACATCTATGAGAAATCTTCAGCATGTTCCTGACGCTGACCTATGCAGGTGTGGATGAAAGTTGAACTCTGAATGCGGTTTGGGGGCTGGAGGCGTGAAGGTCGAGTCGCAGTGACCCGGGTCACCGTCCCAAAACAGCTCTGCTGGCGTCACTGCATGACATCCCAGAGGACGGGCTTCGTTTCTGACATGCAAAAAAAAAGACGCCCTTTTACACTGACCTAGAACTGTTTTCCGTATGTCGACTTTAACCTCAGCCATTACGAAACAAGCTGGTGAAGTGAAGGGCCTCCTAAGTGAATCTCTCCCAGATGAGAGCTTCCTGATGCGGATGTGTGCTGACCTTTCCTCGACCTCGCACGGCGAGAACAAGATCCCGACTAGATAAAGAGGAGCGCAAATGTGTCCGCCGTACAGAGGAAGAGTCGCACAGACAGCGCCGCAGCTCTTCTGAGCCATTCGGATACTTTATTACAAACAAAATCTGCATTTTGGTCAGAACTATATTACACAACCCAGATTATATATATATATATATATATATATATATATATATATATATATATATATATATAATTAGGGCTGGGTAATAAATATCGATTTCTCGATATTAATCGATTCTCATTTTTAGGAACCGATATCGATTCTTAAATCTCAAGAATTGATTAGTCATCCTGTTTCATTTGAATGAATGGGACATTGTATCGCGGCTGCGCACATCCAAAAAAAACGCAATAATGTTTGTCCTTTGTTACTATTGATATGAAACAAAGTCTCAATTTTCAAATTATGTCCATTTTCTTTAGAAATTCAAAAACATAAATAGCGTTTTGGCGAAAACGCTCAAGAAAAACAGCAGCGCTGATCTCTCTTCCGGCTTAATAATACCAGTCACAGCGCGAAATAAACATGAATGAGCATCTGAAAGTGTGTTAAAAGATAGAGTACAACTTATCGAAATCCGTATCATGTCACATTGATTCGCTCAATCAGCGTTTCAACCGTGGAAAGACGTCAGTTAAACAGCTTGTAATCAATGTCATGTATCGTCATATTTACCTCAGAAAACCCACATAAACTCGTTAGTCAGCTAGAAAAAATAACTCCAGAGAGGAGCATCTTGCTAAATATATACACCATATTACATATGCATTATAATCTTAATGTTCTTCAATATTTAATGCATATTTAAATAAATATGGCAAGTTTTTATGACAGCCACCATTTAAATGTTTATATTTCATATAATCTTCTTATTATAAAAATAATAAAAGTGTAATTTAAGTGTTTGTATAGCTACAAAACAGTTCATTATTACCTTCATATTAGGCTAATGAAGCCTATAAGCTACAACTAGACTCCCATAGTTTACAGCATTAGTTAAGAGATTTGATTTCCTTGAGAAAAATTGCCATTTATTGTAACTGATATCCAAAATAATTGATATTGAATTGAATCGCAATCGAATCGAATCGCAAGGTTGTGAATCGAAATCAAATCGAATTGTGAAATTTGTCTTAAAACCCAGCCCTAATAATTATAATTCTGCTTGGATGAGGACTGAACATGTCCACACAATACCCGGAAATATTTAGTTTGATGAAGACCTTTCGTATAAACTTTTTCTGATAATTAAGCACATTTAATAATATCATAATCTACATGTTTATGGATCTTAACACCTCTGAAACAATGGCCAAAAACATTTATTTTTAACAATATATTTATTTTTTATTCGACTGAAAAAACAACGCTCGCCTTTAATCCTAAAAATCTTAACGCAATTTCAGATCCTCATTTGTACATGACAACGGTTACCTTTTAAAAACTCATACAACTGAATTTTATTTGATTTTTGTACAGCACACAAATTAAGCATGGCCAACACTATGGCTCTCATGATTACAGTTTATTTAAAGCAATATTTTACCCAAAAACTAGCTTTTCTTTAATCCTCAAACCACCAGATGATATAAAATGGAGCAGAAAGGACCATCCTTCTTAGGTAAGTAATTAAAAAATGACTCCGACTTCCAAGCACATACTTGTAGTGTGAGGCGTGACTATGTACCGACGGTGAGCGAACGGAAGAATGAACATTGGATTCGGGGTAAAACATTCCTTTAAAATGTGAACACAGAATCCAGACACATCAGTTCATTCATGAGCGAACACAAACATTGGCTTTTGATGCGATTAGAAGAAAATCAGCAGGAGCCTCTAGCGACGGCCCTTCCACAATCATCCACACACAGACGAGTCGAAAGATTAAGCCTTTAAAAATTAAAGACTTCTGAAGTCCTTTCATGGCTTTAAGAAAAAATTAGCTGGCGACTCTCAACAGGAATAAGTTCATTCAGAGTTTGTGCGCGTTTGTTCCGATGTGGTCCTACAGATTCAATCTCATGATCATCATTGCAAACCAATCCCTCCCACAAAAAAAGACGCTGTCCAATGAAAGGGGCCGGTGGCCTGATCATACCCTCCCAACGTCTACCGCTTCATCAGTACATCTTCTGCCGGCTCGGCAACACGGCCTCCTTCAAGAAGGAGAAGATGAGCAGGATTCCCGAGCGCTTGCCCCGCTTGCCTTTAGTGAAGTAGTTCGACACCACATCATCTGAGAAACACACACACACACAGAAAATCATCAACATGAGGAGTGTGTATATAGTAGCACTGTTAATGTTTGCCAAACACATCCAACTACAGGGCAGAAGTGGGCGATAAGCAAACATTTTAATAATATATATATTTAAAACATTTGGTGATATAATAGACACATTTTTGTAGAACATCCCTGAAAAAAAAATTGTATCTTGACCAAAAACAATGTTTGCATATAATACAAGATGCATATTTCTAATTATTATTAATTTGTTTTTATTTAATTACACTGAAAAACAATGTTCAAAGTAAAATGCATATTTTAATATTTTTCAAAAGGCATGTAAATTACAATAAAGCTAATTTAATTTTAATAAAAAATATTTAAAAATTATTCAATTAAACTGAAAAACAACGTTCAAGGTAAAATGCACATTTGAATATTTTTCTAAGGCAAGTAAATTACAATTAAACTATTTTATTTTTAATAAAACACAACATTTTTCTTATTTTATTAATTACTTTTATTTAATTAGACTGAAAAAAAAATCTAACAAAAATTTACATTTTAATATTATTCAGGGCACGTAAATTACAATAAAGCTAATTTATTTTTAATAAAATATATTTAAAAATGATTTAATCAAACTGAAAAACAACGTTCAAGGTAAAATGCACATTTAAATATTTTTCTAAGGTAAGTAAATTACAATTAAGCTATTTTATCTTTAATAAAACATTAATTTTTTCTTATTTTATTTATTACTTTTATTTAATTAGACTGAAAAAAATTCTAACAAAAATTTACATTTGAATATTATTCAGGGAACGTAAATTACAATGAAGCAAATTTATTTTAATTTAAAAAAATTCTAGTTACAATTCTACTAAATTACATACAAACTCATCTGCTCGATTTGGTTCAAACAAGTCTCTATATTTAATTGAAAACCTTCAGCTCTGATTCTGAAGAAGCCTCGTACAACTTGTGTACATTTATGACATATTCAGAAATAATGTATCAATCAAATTACTTTTAATGACTGAAAAACAACAATAATTGCATACAGATTTCCTCTGTTTGCACCGTTATATGTCTCACCCCAGTAACTGGGCTAGTAGGACCTAAGGCTAGTTTAACATGCCCATGTGATCTTAAACCTGCGCTATGATAGGCTGCGCTCGTCTCTCACCTCCCTGCTGCACAGTGGATGGAAGCACATTCTCCCCGGCAGAAAGAGACACGAAGAACGAGAAAGGAATCACCCACAGGCATATCGTGAAGTACGCCAGAACCTGAAAACACACAGACGTTAGTCTCAACCCATCTTTTAGTAAACTCAGTCACTGTTCACCTCAACTTCAAAATACAGACAGACTAATGTCATGTTTTATAGAAATTAATACTTCAAACTGAGCAAAATTGATGTTACTGAAGGTTTACATTTCTTAAAAATGCAGTGCTTTCTATTCATCAAAGAAATTTCCCCCCAAAAAATTGAATGAGAGTTGACAAAAATATTAAGCAACACATCATTAATAATCATAAATGTTTCTTGAACATCAAATCATCATATTAGAGTGATTTCTGAAGGATCATGACACTGAAGACTGCAGTAATGATGCTGAAAATACAGTTTTGATCACAGGAATAAATTATATTTTAAAAGATTTTACAAAAGAAAATGGCTAGTTTAAATTGTAATAATATTTACAATTTTATTGTATTTTTGATCAAATAAATGCTGTCTTGATGAGCAGAAGAGACTTCAAAAACAGAAACAAATCTAACCAACACTAAACCTATTTTTCTGAACTCAAATTTCACCAATTACTTCAAATTCAAAATGGGACCAATAGTTTTCTTTAATAGGCCAATATGTGAGAGAGAGAAAAAAAAAAATCACATTATTATACCTCCGAGTATGACCCTAAATCTAAACTCCGGGGTTTGAGATTACATTGCAAAACAGATTTGCATATAAGATATAGCATACCTCAGAGAAAGGATAGTACTCCTCCGCAAAATACTGGAAGGCCATATAGTGGTTTAACACAACCAGTGCTGGAAAAGAGAGCAAGAGTAAAGATGAGAGGAGAACACTGTCAAATACACAGACTGTAAATGTCTCCGTACGCACCACATGACAGGATAAAGTTCGGCGAGGTCAGCATGATGTATGGAAACGTCTGCAGAAGACCAAAGTAAACCAGGTTTGTGAAGAGACCCACTCCCATCATGAGCGTCGGGAAGCCCTCGAACACGTAGAGCCCGACCAGAACCACTGTGGAGAACTGAGAGACCAGAGTATGAGTTTGAGATATCAAGCATGTCCAAGTAACCCGTTGCTTACATCAGTATTATCACAACCAATGCAATCACACTCTTATCACAACACTTTCATTTCGTGAGATGAAATCTGACCCGACTTTTCAGACAGTGTTGACGAGCCTAAAAATATTTGAATCCCAAACTGGATTTGTGTCCCGTTCTCTAGATATGGCGCGAGTTCCTGCGATATTAGTCAATGAATGCATCCTCAATAATGTACGTTTTATATAATGACACAATACTCACCATAATCATATATTTTATAATGCGACTGGTGGCCACTGTGTACTCCTCTATTAACTCCGCCAGGTAATACAGGCCTGCAGCTGTCAGGACAAATAACAAACTGAGAAAAACTACACATTAACATCTAAACATGGGTTAAAGTGCAAGAGCGCTACATCCATCAAGTCTCTTATACATTCAGGGCTAGAGTAAGAGTAAACACAGGTGTCTAAACAAAGGTACAGGTGTAACTGCTGCTTTGACATGTTGCCAAGTTCTCAATCCTCATCATGAACATCTTACTGTCTACGTGGACAGAGACACTTGTACTGTTTTTATCCAAGCATCATCATGTGGAACACAGCGAGAATTTAAAGAATAAAATTAGCCATCACATGACCTGTAACTAAAATATGTGTCTTGTCAGATGTAAATGGGCGGAGCCAATACTAATCAAAACAATCCTGTATTGTGCAACCGTACAGTTTGAAATATACAAACTCAAAACCTCGAAACACAATGAGAGCTTATCGATTCTTACATAAGACTTTAGACAAAGATATAGATATGAAGCCGTTTTTTTCTTTGCTCATCCCACTGTTATTCTATTCCATATCGTTATTTTCGCAAAGGCTTCTTCTTATTGAAAATAAACGGTTATTTGATTGTTAATAAGGCGCGGGAGCTGAGGGATTTCTTTGGTCGCGTCAGCAAAAGGAGGTTAGCGGCTAACAGCAGCAACTTAAAACTCACCAATAGCGAGAGTAACGAAACATATCTGTATCACCAGCGACAACCAGCTGAGTAAATAAATAAACCACATCTTTAAAAGGGCTGGTCGAATAAATAATTTACTAGTAGTAAACAATAGCGGAGATATGTGTCTCCGCTGCTAAGCTAACAGCTGAAGTGGTCAAAGTTTCTTCTGTGGCTTCCTCAGGCGGAGCGAGACGCTGAGGTGGGAATCAGATCGCAGACAGCGCCTCTCAGGGTGGAGGCGGTACTGCATCTGCGCGTACAGTCCAGCTCTAATAATTTTTTTTTAAAATAATAATAAAAAAAAAAATCATAATAAAATGTATATGTTAATAATAACAAAAAATAATAACAATAAATTAAAAATAAATAAATAAATAAAATTTGGAGAACCAGGAAGTAGCGAGAGAGATTACTGTCAGTCAGAAGCTAGTTATCAAAACCTGAAAATGCCGAAGTTACGACGTCACTTTGTAGGCCAAAATGCGGAAGTGAGTTAGCATTTTAGCACTCCCGGCTCCCTCATTCTGTTTTTTGAATGGGTTTTTGCTAAATCGCCTGAAATAAGGTCTGTGGTGAACAAAGCCTCTAAATATTTTCACGTTTTGATCTATGACATAAAACACAGTTATAACCTGCTTGTGTTTCTTTTAAACTTTATTGTGTCTGCTTGTGTTTTTAAAAAAAACTTTATATAGGCTTCAAAATGTATACATTTTGGATTAATTGGTAAAGATTATCTTGATAGACAAAACGTGTAGCCTAAGGGTCAGTATTCTTTGTTGAACACAGATCTTATTTTTTTTTTTTGCGATTTTCCAAAAGTCTATGGGGGAAATGCATTGCTTTTCGATGGAGGGAACCCATTTTAAAACAAAATCGCTGGTGTGGATCTCTGAGCTGAGTGAGTGAGTGGAGGCAGGGTTCATTTGCATGTACATAGAACCGCGCATAGCCTACTAATGAGGCAAGGGTGTGGAGCTATTCGATTTTAGAAAAACAATTCAAGGAAAAAACGTTTAAATATGACATTTTGGTGTTTAATGGTGAGTTTTAAGCATAGACTGTAAAAAGGTTTGAAGTGATGAAATTATTGACTAGGGGGAGTTTAGAAACATAAATTCAGACGGAAAGACAGATAGAGAGGCAGATGATCAGAAAAAAAGGGCTTTCCAAAAAACACATTTAGATTTTTTGTCAAGTTTTAGTCATGCATATTACATCCACATCCATGCATCTTCTCCTCCTTCATCCTCACACAAGCACAGACGTACACACACCTAAATCAGACACCTTTCAGATCCTGGTGAAAAACATGAATTCTTTATAGTGTTTGTTAGATGGAAAGCTCTCTTGAGTGAGAGGAATCCTTACAGAATGAAATGCCTTTTAAAAGTAAATGAGCAAAAGTGAGTGAGAGTGGAAAATAATTGTAGACTCCATTTAAAATGCTTTTATCAAAGAAGAGGAGTGTGAAGGTGTTAGGAGAAAAGGTTGCCCTTTTTATTGCAGGTGTTTCCAGATGGACGGAACTAACCTAAAGGCTTTGACACTGGCAGGATTGCAGTGAAATATATTCTGATACTCACTTAAAATGTTGTGTTTTATGGTTTTAACTTTTAATTTAAAAGTTTGCGTGTCTATTAAAATTGACCATTTTTTTTCAATGAAATGAATCTACCATATTCTAGTTCTGTAATGTTTTTTTTTAAATAATATTTTGTATTATTAGTGGATTTTATGGTATGAATTATATTTATGGAATAGATATGATCCCTTTATTACCTATTAATGCACTATTGGAGCATAGACCTTGAAATAAAATGTTCAACTTCATAAATCTTGAATGCTTTGGAGAACAGACTGAGGTCTTTTTTTTCTTCTTCTTTTTTTTAATTTATTCTACACATGGCAAATTATTGCTGAAGAGAGAATTTTTATTATTATTATTATTATTATGCACGAAAACAGTAGGCTATTTTAAAATTCAAATAATCAAACAAATATTTTTCAAAACATGGTTTACTCTAAAACTGTAAAAAAAAAAAAAAAAGAAGTCAAAAAGTCAAAGCCATAAATCTAAACAGTTGTAATCCAAATTTGAGGTTGATATCTTGTTAAGTTTTTTTTTTTTTTTATTTATTTTATATACATTTTACATGATATTTTAGAATTAAGGCAGTTCTGAAGGCGAAAGGGGGTCAAACACAGTATTAGTATGGTGTTCCTAATAATCCTTAGGTTAGTGTACTTTGAGTAATGCAAAGTAAACTTCAAATGAACAAGTAATTCACAACAACCTCTAAATGGCCATGGGACTTATTCGCTTTGTTCATTTTAAGTAGTTTTTACTTAATTCCATACATGTGAAATTGACTTTAAAAAGCATGAGTGGGAAAACATGCAAAATAAAGATTAAGTGCATTTTTCTTATAGTCGTTTCATTATATCCTAGTCGAAGGCTTGATTCTAATCCAAATGAGATTCTTTGCTATGTTTTTCAACATTGCTGTGCATCTGAGCAACAAATCCACCAAGAATGATGGCAATTACACCAGAAAAGGATGCAATATACTTTTATGAATATAAAACAATGCCATGTTAAAGTAATTTTAACTTTAAATGCTTAGAAAATGTGCGTGTTTGAAAGGTCCAAATAACTCAAGTATTCAAGCAAGTCGAGTCTTTTAATGGAAGAATTCATGCCTCAAAAGAACAAATGTCCATCAGGCCGAGGGCAAAGAAAACACAGACTAGGTATGTACAGAATGTTTTTTATTTCTTTCATAATTGCTTTTTTGAATGCAGGGGTCCTTGGTTTTTTCCATTGCGGCGTTCGCACCACAGTTAACAGGGTTAGCGCTTGTCATTCAGCCTTGTGACATTTACTCGAAACAAAATCCATGAGGCGTCTGGCAGAAGAAAATAGGTGTTGAAGTCGTACTTAGTTCAACATCGTGCTTCTCGAAAAGTGCAGAAGGTCAGACTAAAAGACTCCTCAAACAAAGCTCACTTTTCTTCCCATAACACGGACTCGGAGGCCTTTATGCGAGAGACTCTCTTCTCTCGGTTCTGCTGAAGTCTGCGGAGGACAGGAGCGCTTCCACTCTCCCCTGCCCAGGGCGAGGACATCGAGGCCGGCACACCAGCACCGGGGCAATCTGAGGAGACGCGACCTTAGTGTTATAATGCAGCTCACACAAACATTCACACCGATCAATAAATGAGGAGGCAGCTTTTAAGCAGCGCTGTCAAGGGTATATCGCTCCCAGAGTGCAACCAATTAGGCCAATAAATTTGATTTATTTACAAGCCAAAGTTTACTTTTACACAAACTACTATATATATAACTTTTTATCCCAAAGTAATGTGTCAAAAAATATATATGAATGTTCTAAGATAACTAAGAAGCAAAATCGCATAAAACGTTGTTAACCCATTCGGACCCTGCGTCCATTTTTTTTTTTTTTTTTTTTTTTGCGTCCTTTTTTTAATTATTATTATTTATTGTTTTACTTCTGGAGCATTTCATCTAGTTTAAAGCCTGCAGTCCATGAGATTTGACGTTTTTCATCCAATCAAATGGCAGTAAAGCTCTGCTTGTAGTATTAAAATAAATAATAAATAAATAAAAACACTACATTGAAGAGAAGCAGGATGGCAGCACTTCACTCCAAACACAGAAGCAAGCAACATTTTCTATGGTTTTATTTATATATATTTGAATATTTTTGACAGTATCTCATAGTTTCTATGTAAAATAGAAAGATTGGACTATTAATTATGTAAATGTGGGCGTAATATTTTATTTCTTATTTATTTAAGGACACTATGTTTAAATACATTTTTTTAAATTGGGGGTAAATGAACACTTAAAATGATATGTTTTATTATTTCTATAGTTGTTTGTAGGTTGTTTGGTCAGTTTTTTTAAGAAATGTAATTTTCAATATATATATATATATATATATATATATATATATTATAATTCTTAAAAAGTCAGCTCTGTTCACTTTATTTAACTTCCTAAAGGAAATTATGCATTTTGCATTGAAGGAACACATTTTACATGATCAACTGATATATGATGTGATAATGACATATAACAAAAACAGTGAATTCTGAATTTATTTGGAGATTATATACATAATCGGGAATGTGAGGGCGTAAAGGAAGAGATGTACCTTTGGGATTAGATGGAGGGTTATGGTTAGGGTTGGGGTCAGGTGAGGGTCCTTTTTCATCCCCCATGGCCCGCCTCCTCCTCTGGAGCACCATCTGAAGCTCCGCCTCCCCAACATTACGGCTGAAGCGTTTTTTCGATTCCACCTTTCGGGGGCCAGACCTTCTCATGGAAACCTGAGTTACATTAATACAATCAGCCACGACTCACGGGAGGTGATGCCAGGGACTTTACGATGGTTAAGGAGCCCTGAAAATGTCCTTAATCATGGTAAAATCACCAACAGAAACAGTTTTATGATTAAACATCCCAATGTTTAATAAACCACATATTAGTTTATTAGCTTGTGATGTTTGCTGAAAGTACAGTTCAAAAGTTTGGGATTAGTAAGATTTTCTTTTAAGGAATAAAAATACAGTAGGGATGCATTCATAGATAAAAAGTGACATTTATGATGTCACAAGAGATTTTTATTTCAAGTAAATTCTGTTCTTTTGATCTTTTTATTCCTTAAGAAAGTGCTCCCGAGATTCCACAAAAATATTAAGCAGTAAAACTTTGATGATAATAATCAGAAATGTTTTTTGAGCTGCAAATCAGCATATTAAAATGATTTCTGAGGGATAATGTGAGACTGGAGGAATGATCACAGGAATAAATTATATTTTAAAAGTATATTAAAATAGAAAACACCTATTTTAATTTGTAATAATATTTCACATTTTTTCTATATTTTTGATCAACTAAATACAGCCCTGATTAGCATATAGACTTCCTTTAACAAAAGAAAAAATCATAGTGATCATGGAATTTGGAACTGGCGCATCAAATGTGTATATGTGCACTTTTTAATTATTAGTCAGTTTAATCCCAGATATTATTTCCTAATCTGAAAGTATATGAACTATGCCCCAAAGTCATTGTTGACCTCACAAACAGCTTTAGCCTGACTGATAAAAGTTACTGTTGTAATAGAGATAATTGTACCAGCATCCCCTGTAACTC